TTTCAATAAGAATTGTATTCAGACATATAGAAATGCAAGCCTACAAGAATTTTTTGGTTAAAGAAAATGCGATAAATTATTCATTTTTCAAAAACAATTAATTTTTAATCCTTAATAATGATTTATTTATGTCTGTGATTTATGTAACTTATTAATATTCATAAAATTTTATTTTTCAAGTAGACATGTAGTACATGCCTACATGGTACGATAAATGCTAACCTTAAGAGGAGAACAAAATCAAATTCAACAAAGTTTTGCCCAACATATAATTTCATTTATTATTTTCCTTTCGTGGTGTGTGGATTTATATCTTCTTAAAATATTAGGCCTCTTTTATATAAAAATTAAAAATGCGTTAATACAAATTGTACATCAAGTCATCAATATATTACATACTTTGATAGGTAGATTATTCGATTAATTCATTTAACATTAATAATAGACCAAGTTTAGAAGATAATGATGGTAACCCATCTTGGACAGTTGACAGTGTGAATAATAGGCCATTAACTAACTAACTAATCACATTTTTATGGCTGCTTAATTTATGCAGGGGCATCACACAGGGTGGTCAAAGTTCATCTCCTCCGGTCAAGCTCCGTGCATCGGACAAGCATGTAAGATTTAAGAGCAAAATAACATAAAATAAATAAATAAAAGGAAAATTATTGACAAAAAATACATATATATATATAATTATATTTTTTTGACTTCCATGTTCATATTAGTTTTAATGTCCAATGGTCCATGTTACTTGTTACTATATATTAGTGTATTTTTGCATAATTTTTCAAGAAAAAAATGAAAAAAAGAACAAAATAACGAATATTACTAACTTAATTAAGTTGATTGCATGGTTGTGAAATGTGAGATCAAACCACAATGTATTGTATATTTTCGTTTCGTACCCAAGGTAGTGCTAACTATCTCTCCTGCGCTAGTCTTTCCTAATCTCTTATTTTTTATTTGGAAATTTTCTTGCAGGTGGAGATTGATAACGGCATTGTTAAACTTACATTGTTGAAACCGAGCGGCTTTATTACAGGCGTAGGTTATAGAGGAATCAAAAACATTCTCGAGTATAAAAATGCGGAAGATCGAAGAGGGTGAGTAGAATAGCTTCAAAACTTAAAAAATCTTGTTAAGGCCCTAACCTTTATTTATTTATTTATTTTTTGGCTTATAATTGTTTTATTTGGCAATGCAGTTACTGGGACATTGTATGGAGTAGGCCACAGAACGACACAAGCTTTTTCGACACGTAAAAATTCTCAAATTCTAAAACCATTCTCAATTTCGAAACATCAATTTATTATTGTTAGATATGTCATGAAATGATAACAAGTTATTCACATTCTGTTTTTTTGGCTCCCCTGTACTTATTATGTGCAGGCTTGAAAGTACAAACTTCAAAGTTGTAGAAGAAAATGAAGATCAGATTGAAGTCTCGTTCACCAAGACGTGGAGCGAGTCCCGTGGTGAAAAAATCGTACCTCTCAATGTCGACAAAAGGTGCATTTTTTCAATTTCACGGTTAATTATGGTTTTTTAAAAAATTATATTGATAAAACAAAATTTTAACTATGATTTTAACATTAATATCTCAGGTTTATAGTCCTTCGTGGGGTTTCTGGTTTCTACTCGTACGCAATATTCGAGCACTTGGAAGGGTGGCCAGATTTGAACATCGACGAAGCAAGAATTGCCTTCAAGCTTCACCAGGACAAGTAAAGAATTGTTATGCATTGTTGATAAATAATGCTGTCAAATTATTATTATTAGTTCANCTAATACAAAACTGCATGATTTTTCAGATTCAATTACATGGTTATATCAGACAATAAGCAACGCTTCATGCCAACCGATAACGATAGAAAAGCCGGTCAGATTCTTGATTACAAAGAAGCTGTTTTGATCAGAAGTTCCCAAAATCCAAGATTCAAAGGAGAGGTATTGCGTTAATTAATGGAGTAAATTGCAATTTTAGTCCAATATGTTTCACTACCCTAACTCTTTCGTCCTCTTCGAATTGCGTTTTTTATTTTCGTCTCGTATGTTTGCAAAAAAGTTACAAAAAAGTCCTTTTTCATTTTTCATATATAAGGAACGAAATTGAATTTTTTTTTTTTGCAAAATATAAAAGATCTTTTTGCTGCGAAAATGACATTTTTGCAAACATACTGGGACGAAAATCAAGAACGCAATTCGAAGAAGACGAAAAAGTTAGAATAGTGAAACATACAGGCCAAAAAATGTAATTTACTCTGATTAATGCGACATTTAGATGAACAAATCAAGTACTAACGAAAAAGAAAAACGGATCGTCAGTTATTTATAATATGCATGATTCTAATTTTGTGCGTGGAAACAAAAAAACAGGTCGATGACAAGTATCAATACTCGTGTGATAACAAGGATAGCCGTGTCCACGGATGGATTAGCTCAAACCCAAAAGTTGGATTTTGGGTTATTACGCCAAGTGACGAGTTCAGAGCCGGTGGGCCCATCAAGCCCGACCTCACGTCACATGCGGGCCCAACTTCACTAGCCGTAAGTGCAGCGTTACAAAAGTCATACTCATTATCAAGACATAATCGACATTATTCATTTTATTTAAACTTTTCGGTTTTCGTTCGATATAGATATTCTTTAGCGACCATTACGCGGGCCCCAGTTTCGGAGTCAAATTACGCAACGGTGAGCCTTGGAAGAAAGTGTTTGGGCCCGTTTTCGTGTACCTTAATAATGCTGATCCCGACAATAATTCGACCGTACTTTGGGAGGATGCTAAGAGACAGGTCATCAGTCACCATTAATAATATATTCTTGCTGCAAATTAAATCACACTAGAAAGATTCTTTGTGTTAAATTATTCAGTGTTTTTTNTTTACTTTATCAGATGTCGGAAGAGATCGAAAAATGGCCGTACGATTTTCCAGAGTCGAGAGATTTTCCACGTGGCAGTCAACGTGGGACCATAACCGGGCGATTAATGGTTCGTGACAAGTACATTAATAATCGGGAGATTATGCCGGCAATATTTGCTTATGTGGGGTTAGCTCAACCTGGAAATGTAGGCTCCTGGCAAGATGATTCCAAGGTTTTATTATATATCTTCCTTATAACATAGTTAAACTTGTGAAGATTAACATAAATTTATATAATTAATGATGCTATTAATTATTTTGTATTGGCAGGGGTACCAATTTTGGACACAGGCTAATGAAACAGGGCATTTCACGATAAACGGTGTTCGAGCAGAGACTTATAATTTGTATGCTTGGGTGCCTGGAGTCATCGGAGACTATAAGCATGATGATAACGTTACAATTCGACCAGGTTTCGTAAACAAAAAAAATAAAAATAAAAAAACACGCGATAGTTTGTTTTTTGTTTTGGCTAGCAAAAATGTCACTTTATTATGGTGTATAATTTAAACACCAAATTTATTCATTTGATATCTTTTTTTTTTTTACAGGAAGCACAATTGAAATAGGCGAACTTGTATACGATCCTCCGAGAAGTGGGCCCACGTTATGGGAAATCGGGATTCCTGATCGTACGGCAGAAGAGTTTTACGTGCCTGATCCTGCTCCAGGCCTTGTGAATAAGCTATTTATAAACCATACCGAAAAGTAATGACCCAAATTTTGTAATAAAAAAAAATGGTTAACTTAGTTGATACTGATAAGTGAAAAGTATTTGGATTCAGGTATAGGCAATATGGTTTATGGGATAGGTATACAGATTTATATCCTACTGAAGATCTGATTTACACAGTTGGGGTCAGTGACTATAGTAAAGATTGGTTCTTCGCGCACGTAAATAGGTAAAAACTAAAAATAACATCTTTTCGTGTCGATTTAACGAACCTTTCGATGAAAAATTCATTTAATTCGCAGTTGTGATTTTCATTTTTTTTTTTTTTTTTCANTTTTTTTTTTTTTTTTCAGGAATATGAACGATAGTAACTATATGCCAACAACGTGGAGAATCGTATTCGATGCAAGAAAAGTACGGACAACAGAGACTTACACATTGAGGCTGGCATTGGCTTCAGCTAGCTTAGCCGAATTACAAGTATGCATTCAAAAATTTTATCTCATTCTTCTAAAAGTGTTTCAAACACTAATTAAACAGCTTTTACCTTTACTGATATTAGGTATGGATCAACAATCCTAATAGTCATCAGCCTCATTTTACGACCGGGAAAATTGGAAGAGACAATACAATTGCAAGGCATGGGATTCATGGAAAATATTGGTTATATGAGGTTAATTTATCGGGATATCAGCTGGTTAATGGGAATAACACGATATATCTTAAGCAAGCGAGGACTTCGGGCCCTTTTGCCGGTGTACTGTACGACTACATTCGTCTTGAAGGGCCGGGGAAAGTCAACAATTAGGATGTGAAATGAGAATTAAAGTGTACATATATATATATGGTACATTTTTTTGGACATAATCCAAATTAGGAGAAGCTGTTGTTTGTTTTGATTGGTTGCTTTTCTTAGTTTTTACTTTCTGTTTCATATGTATGGTTTTTCGGTTTTATCCATTCTTATTCTTTTCATAGTTAATAATTATTTCATAGTGTGTGATATATAAGAGTAATAGAACCTCTTGTCATCTTATTGAATCTCTTAGGCACGAGAGATTTTTCTTGGCCAAGTAACAAAATACTTAGGAATGTTCAATACCATATTTTTTTTAACTCTATATATAAAGGGCCTCTCAAAAAATGACTCAGTGAACGTATGCGATTGGAAACAAAAGAGATAAATATCAGGATTTGTTATGTTTAATTTTCTCGTCTTATTTAATTTCCAATTCAAGTTTTTTTAAGCAATAAACAATTCAAGTCCATGATTATGGCTAAATAACGGATATATCTCTACTTAATTTTATTTGCCCTTTATAAAACTAGTAAATTTTACTACTGGTATATATAAGGATGTCTCAAGTACCATTTTCTCATAATTCAAAACATTTTTCTAATTAACTTATAATACTGTTTGCAAGATGAAGTACAATCACCAACAGATCTTGGCTTTCTTGTTGATGCTTTTCTTATTAACTGGTTTTTTTTATTCTAAATTTATGTTTTCTAATTACATTGAGATTGTTAGATGGACTAAAATTTTGAATGAATACCTGGTATTAAAAAAAAAAAAATCATAAAATCATTTTTTCGGGGGTTTGTCTGGCAGAATCAGTAGTTTGTTTTCATTTTAAAATAGTTTAGTGTTGGAAAATGAATGTTAAAAAACAAAATTTTAGTTTTTATGTAGATGAATAATTTTACATACATTGTTTTAGAAAATGTTATAATTTCAAAAACATCATAGAAGTATAACATTTGAAAATATATCAAATATAAGTATATAAATTTGTTCTTATAGACATGTCAATTAATTAACTGTTAGATCATCTTATATAACAATCTATATATTGTTAAGTAGATAATGATGGTTGGTGGTTCCCAAGTAATGATTCTTAGTTAAAATAAAATAAAACAAAATCAATAAAACTTCATTGTTATGAATAGTTTGAAAATGAATTACTAGTTGTTAAAGAAAATGAAACAAAGCCTTAATAAAACTACGCTACTCCTATTTACTTGATTCGCGCCAGTGCGCCATAATTTTATTTAAACAATTATTAATTTATTTCTGTTAATTAATGTTGGCAGATAGCACGAGAGTGGTGCAGGGTGTAAAGGAAACAAAGCAGCTACGAATGCAGAGGAGCAAAACTTATCGTGGGGTTTGTGCTGATGCGGCTAGGTGCAAAAGGGTTTGTTTGGGTGAGGGATTCGTAGATGGGGCTTGTTTTGGAGAGCGAAAGCGTGTTTGTTTTTGTGCCAATTTTGAATATAGCAAAGACGATTAATAGTACAAATTATAGCTTGTTATGATCCTAAAGGAAATTGAATAATAAAAAATTTTAATAAATAATTACTATATGTTACTCTTTTTAGATATTTGATGCAAATTTTGTTGTTGCTTTATATACTCCTGCGTCATATTATGATCTTATGAAATGAAAGGGATTGAATACATTTCAAATTATGGTCTATGTAGGCATTATTAATTGAAAGGAGACTTATAAAAGCTATTACATGAGAGAACACGTGATACGTTTTGCAAAATCTTTAGATTTCACTTTGGAAATAGTTGTGAAATATTTGGTTTGTTATAATAAGATGAAAAGGCTAAGAAGACAGTTTGTGCTTATTTCTTATTAGCTCCTCACATTGTATAGTCACATTGTATTTTTTATGTTTGGTTTGAGGAAAATCGGTAGGACGTAAATGGAGTGATATATAGGAAGAGATCTTGTACATTTTAATCATATAATCATTCGTAAAAACATACACATGCACGGTTAAGATGCACAGAAGATTCATGAAGCTTATCTTGCATTTTAATTATGAATATTCATGAAGCTTATCTTGCATTTATTAAAAAAATTTATAGATTACAAAGTTTAAATACATATAGTAAGAATCCCAAAATAATAAATAAATAATAACATTTTACTTGTGATTATCTACACCTGATTTCATGAAATTTCATGTCTTCTTGCTTTATTTCTCATCTATGGTCTTTTTAGTATTATTGTAAGTAAATTGGGTTACATCTTTGAGTCTCTCTCAATTTCTCCAATTTTTCAGTACTATTTGTCCTTTTTTTTATCAAACTAGTAAAGTACTCGTGCAATGCACGTGATGATAAATGTTTTTTGCCGATTGAGTTTAGTAAAATAAATTAATTAATATATTAAACATATCATTGAAGGAATAAAATAAAATATAAAACAAATGAGTTCCTAATGTATAATCCCTAAAAACACAACATAAGGATGTCTTAATATGAAAACAATGAAATAGCATATTACAATCCCTAAAACAAATATGAAAAATAAGTCTTTAATGAAAAAAACACTAAATAACTAAATAAGGATCTAATGTATATTACCAATTTATTAGTTTTTTTTTTGGTTATCAAAAGTTGCTAAAACACTTTCTATACTAAAAGTGCTAGAACTATCCTAAAGTTGTTATATGCTAATAAATGGTAAGAAGATGCATGGAGGTACCTGTCATATAAATATTTCTTAGTGAGTGTCTGACACATTTCTAAATGTGTAACTACTAAAATATGAAACGGTTTTTAAAGGGTTGAGCATGAGACTCGGAGAATTCTGAATTGTTTCGAAAACCGAACCAAATCACTCCGAATCGAAAAATAACCGTTGACTTTCTCCGAACCAACCGAATCGAAATAATAATTGATACGGTTCTGGAGATATCACAAATATCCGAACCGAGAACCGAACCAAACCGTCCGCTACCGTACCGAACCGAATTATTAAAATATATGTGTGATATTAATATTTATGTCAACATTGATCCTATATAATTTGAAATTTTTTAAAATGAAAATAAAATATAGTTATAACAATTAAGCATCACTTAAATATCATGCTTAGTAATACTTGAGATCTACAACTGAATTTTTCTGTTTTAAGAAAAATATATTTAATAGTATGAAAGGTTAAAGAACTATTTTTTAAAAAAAATATTTAAAATTTACTTAAATTTGTCGATAGTAGTTTTGTTCAATCTTATATCTAACATGGTATGAGAGATTAAAGAAATATTACTTTAATAAAAAACTATATTATATTTTGTTTGAATTTCAATGTAAGTTGCACAAATTTTGTCTTAACTAAAATTTAGAGTTATTTCTCCAGTTGATTTAAAAATAAAATCTGTAGTATGATAAAGTATTGATGAATGTTGGATTTTAAAAAAAATATAAAAATTGAAATTCAACTAGGTGGCTATTAAAAAAAATTAATAATATCCGAACGGTTCCGATAGTCCCAAGAACCGAATCGAACCGAACCGATTTTTTTGTACGATTCCAGAGATTGAGTTTTAGTAATCTCCGAACTTCGGTACGGTTCAGAGATTGACCGACCCATGCTCACCCCTAACTGTTTATAAATTACACAGTACTCATCCTCAAATCATTAAAACGGACACTTGTCAGTCAAAATGGGGCACTTGTCGCCTATAGAAGACCACAAACTTTTAGATAAGAGAGAGATTCGCGCATAATAAGATGATGAAATCACCCTGTTCAAAATTCAATTGTTCTGAACTACCCCATTCACAAAATTCAATTGTTAGAAAAACCTTTACAAAATTCAATTGTTCTCAACTATCATTCACAAAATTTAACTGTACTGCCATTGTATTATTTTGTTGGTGCTGCATGAGTGCTTCATTCAGAATCAGAATCAGAAGAAGTCTCCTACAGAGGCAGAGCTCAACAATTAAATGATGAAAAGATGTTGGTGTTGTATTTGAAGCATTCTGGAATATTACAAAAACATCTAACAGTCTCTAGAATAATACCAAAGAAAAAAAAAAAAAAAAAAAAAAAAAAAAAAAAAAAAAAAAAAAAAAAAAAAAAAGAGAAAGGGAGCGATCAAGATAGGAGAAGAACTTCGTCACCTCTTCGAGACTATTCGGGCGATAAGGAATTCCTTATCCTGTTGGAGGCCGTCTCCAGCAAGCCAAATAGCCACCGGCTCCATTAGTGGGTTGCCCAAGTTATCGACGGCGTACACGATCTCCTTCAAAATCGCTCGTCCAGCATGAATCCCATGTATCACGCGATACAAATGGAGTTTGATTATGGGATTCTGATCCACAAATTGCGTCATTACCTAAAATCAGATTTGCTTGCTCGGGCAAAATTTTCTGTTACAAATTCTGATCACTACATCAGAGGTTATGACTACTTCAAGAGTGATGCTGACAATGATTGGGATTTTGCCCCGAATCAGGATGCGAACAACTTTGCAGCTCATTTTCTTAGTAAGCCTAGTGGTCAGCATGGACAAATTCCACCTTTTACAGATGGAGACATGCTCCAAATGTACAATCTTGTGAGCCAAGCTGTGCGCGAAAGACTGCCCCACCTTTTTCCAACTTTTAATTCTAAGTATCAGAATAACTATTTCGTTGCTAAAAAGTTAATGCAACATGCTAAGTTTCTGGTAATGGTGTATTTGACATAATTAAGGATTCATTTTTTAGGCTTATCTGAACTTGGTGTGCATTGTCATACACAATGTTATAAGTAAGTTATTGTTTTGCATAATTAAATGATAGTGTTGACTTTCATTAATATTGTGCATGACAGTGCACACCAAGTCCAGATAAACTTAAAAAATGAATCTCAAATTATAACAATGCTTGAAATACACGGTTACCAGAAACTTAGGATGGTGCTTTAACTTTTCAGCAACGGAATGGTTATCCTGATACTTAGAATTAAGATCTGGAAAAAGGTGGGACAGTCTTTCGTGCACAACTTTACTCACAAGCTTGTACATTTGGAGTATGTCTGCATATGTAAAAGGTTGAACTTGTCCATGCTGACCACTAGGCTTACCAAGAAAATGAGCTGCAAAGTTGTCCGCATCATCATTCGGGGCAAAATCCCAATCATTGTCAGCATCACTCTTGAAGTAGTCGTAACCTCTGATGTAGTGATCAGATTTGCAGATCAGAATTTGTAAATTTGTAACAGAAAATTTTGCCCAAACAAGCAAATCTGATTTTAGGTAATGGCGAAATTTGCGGATCAGAATCCCATAATCGAACTCCGTTTGTATCGCGTGATACGTGGGATTCATGCTGGACGAGCGATTTTGAAAGAATCGTGTACGCCGTCGATAACTTAGACAACCCACTAATGGAGTCGGCGACTATTCGGCTTGCTGGAGACGGCCTCCACAGGATGAAGAATTCTTTATCCCCAAATATTTTCGAAGAGGTGACGAAGTTCTTCTCCTATTTTGATCGCTCTCTTTCTCTTTTTTTTTCTTTGGTATTATTCTAGAGACTGTTAGTTGTTTTTGTAGTGTTCCAGGATGCTTCAAATACAACCCAAACACCAGCATCTTTTCATCATTTAATTATTGAACTCTGCCTCTGTTGACAAGAGAATTAATCTTCTTCTGATTCTGAATGGAACACTCATGCAGCACCAACATAACAATACAATGGTAGTACAATTAAATTTTGTGAATGGTAGTTGAGAACAATTGAATTTTGTAAAGCCTTTTCTAAGGCTTTTCTAACAATTGAATTTTGTGAATGGGGTAGTTCAGAACAATTGAATTTTGAAAAGGAGTGATTTCATCATCTTATTATGCGTGAATCTCTCTCTAATTTCTTTTATCTAGAAGTGTGTGGTCTTTTATAGACGACAAGTGTCCCATTTTGGCTGACAAGTGTCCGTTTTAATGATTTGAGGCTTGTGTAATTTATAAACAACATTTCATATTTTAGTAGTTACACATTAAGATTTCATCATCTTATTACATATCCAGTTTATGTAAATTTGTAACAGAAAACTTTTCTCATTACCTAAAATTAGATTTGCTTACTCGGGCGAAATTTTCACTTCTGGATTTTGATCTATTGCCTGTAGGCGCTCAGCCATCCGTCTCAATTCCTTTGTGAGGTCTTTTTCAGCAGCCACAGACACAATCACTTGATTTAAGATTCCCCGCATGAACTTTGCAGCCTCCTGTTCTTAAACCCAAAATTGGTGTAAGACAAGTATTCTACAAAGGGCAGCAACATATGATTTTTCGGCAGCTGACTTCTTGGCCGAAAAGCTTGCCACCTTGATTATGGGAAATCATTAGTAAACACATGAAAGAAGAAACCAAGAAAACATAGAAAATGTATCCCCCTTTTTCTTTCATTTTATAATAAGGATGAATATCCTGAAGCCTCACATGGTTTCAAATTATGCTCAACACCAAAAGGAACAAGTCAAGAAACAAGAAATACAGGAAAAGAAGAAACATAAAGGTTTTCATTTTTAATGAAGGATGGCCTTCACATTTCCGCTTAGAGGAGTAGCAAACTGCTAAACAAATTCGCTATTTTCATCCATGCAAAAAGACTAGTAAAACTTAATCTATATCCAGTCATATAACTCAACTTGCAAACACAATACTAGTAAAGCTCATTGAGAAAAACTGTATACAGAAGACCATTGACTAATTCCCAGCATGTAAAAAAATTTGTGCCGCAATCTACTTACAGCTAGAAAATGAACAATTATACCTCTACTGCAATACATATTGCCAGCCCTTCCTCTCCGTTCTCAAAATCAGTTGAAGGAACAAGATCCTCCCCTTCAATATTGTCTGCCTTTGTTGATTCTCTCACAATTAAAGGGGCTTGCATCATTTGCAGCATAAACCGTGATGCTTGTGCAGCACGCTTACGCATGTTAGACACCATCAGACTAGATCCCGAAGCATTACCATGAATACCAGGCCACAAGGAACGTATAAAAGGCATAAAAGCCTTTGATATGCACTTCTGCAATTTCAGGGACAATATTTATCATGAGTTCAACATAGATGAACCCATATAAATACAGGAACCAGAAAACACAGATTAGAAATATAGTATAAAATACAGACCTTATGATTGGCCGAAAGTGATGGATAGTGCTCGAAGAAAACTGACGGGCACTGTTTCAACCTACAGAAGAGAATATTACAAAAATTTGTTAGCTATATATACTAGGCATATACAAGAAAAAGCCCAACCAGTTGACCGAGAAAGCAACCAACCTCTGGAGCTCATCGTTCTCACTACTGAAGTACAAGCTGACGAGCTTAGCCAGTACCAGGTAATGTGTTGAAACATGTGATCCTGAAAACTTATTGCTCAAAAGAAGTATCTTTGCCAAACCTTCTCCAAGGACGCCTTGAATTGATTGATTATCCTCCATCTCCCCAAAATCACCCCAATCATGCCCAAGCCCCACAAATAATAGATCGAGAAGCTCGATATCCGAATCCTCGCTTTCGTTGCAAAAATCAATGGGGGCTAGTGATGTTGTATGGTTACGGAGTTGTGACGAGAGATTACAGTTCATGGCGCTGTCCATTTCATCCAGACTGTGCCATATTCCCAGATCGAGTAGCGCCTTTGCAGAGATTATTGCAACCATAGGAGGCGCCTTGATGAAAGAAAGTCTTAGTTGCTTCACTATAACTTCACTGGGCTTTTTCTCGAACAACCCAAAAAGGCCAAGGCACCGACAGAAGCCTTCTGGACATCCAAGTTCGAATGCTTTGCCTGCATTACACAAACCACCAAGTAAACACAATAGTCACTGGGAGAATTGGAAGTGGCTAGAACAGGAGAGGATCACATTAAGAGAGAGAGAGAGAGAGAGATTAGAGAATGGTAGTGAATTTGGAGAAATACAAATGCAAAACACATGATGCAAGAAGAACAAGATTAAAGGTGCATATGGTGATGATGAGATGGAAATCACATATGCTTATGAGATTATTGTCTTGTTGCTACAATTCTTTGGATCTTTACCATAGAAAGTTTGAACTGTCAAGTAAAATGAAGTTGTTCTAAGTATAGAAACCCAAGAATAGGTAAGAAGAATTGGTTTCATTAAAGCCAAAGTAGTTAATCATCACTTGAGAGGTGAAAGATAGGGATAGGAAAGGTAGGGAACCATTTTGACTCAATCTTAACATATTGAGAAAGACTAGGAAAATGTTTCTCGTAACATATCCTTGGATTACAACACATAAAGGCAATTTGTATTCCTACATTTTCCTTTGAGAAATCTCAAAGGTAGGTAATCCTAAGAAGAGGTAAAGTATCAGAAATAGAAGTTGGTTGCTGGAATTATAACATTCATCAAGAAGCTAAATGTAGATCTAATGATGAACATGATAGGCTAATTAAAAAATAAATATCAGCTTTTTTTGGCAAAATGTTAATTAATGATAAGATAAACTCCAACACACTTACATACAACCTTCCAGATTGTAACTTACAAAAATCTAAATTAAATAAAGAACTCAAGCAAAGAAACACAAGAACCCACCATTACATAAGCACAAACGTATAAACAAGTCCATTTCAGGAAGCAAAATCGACTTTTTCAACTGAAAAACTTAAAACGATAAAATGAAACAGATACGAATCAACTACAAAAAGCCCAACATTAAATAAGCAAAAACATAAAAACAAGGACTTTTCAGAAAGCAAAATAGGCAGCAAGAATGTATTTTTATATCAATTCATCAAAACAATACAAAACATACCCAACTGAAAAACTCACAAAAATCTTGGAAGGCACAACAAAATGAAACAAATACAAAGAGCCCATCATTACAACCACCACAAATTGTAAGAAAAAACGAGTATCCACCAATAGCCATGAAAACAGACAGCAAGAATATGTTTTGAACTCACCTTCATCAGCAGAGACAGCTGAAGCTACTAAAGCCACAATAAGGAGCAGCAATAGCGTAATTAGCCCAGCCTCCTTGTTTACACACGAATGCCACAAAGACACCGTAAAATAATGGTGCTCGAGAGAAAACCAAAATTGTTTCCAAGAATTTACAGGCATATGCAGGGTTTTAGCGAGTGAAGAATGATAGTAGTTAATATATTTATGAGAGGAAAGATGGTTGGGCATCAATCACAAAAAAGTTAATTTTAGATGAATCCTACGGCTGCAAAATCATCTTTCACTCTGTCATCTACTGTTCCTCTTTTATTGTTATTATTATTATTGCTTTTATCTATTTATTTATTTATTTGTTTTTGGTTTTATTAAATGTGACTTTTTTTACAGTCCCGTAGTATTTGTGCCTCGAATAAAGAAAACGACTTTGTTGGTAGCCGTTTAGGGTCTGCTGTTTGTTTCTTGAGATAATTGGATTAATTTCTGAAGGCTTTTAAGACAAAAGCCAAATGTGCCCGATGAGATGACGCGGTCTCTGAGGTTGTCAGCTGGTTTCAACGGTCAAATAAGTTGGACCATTCTTTTATGGTTTTTTTTTTTCCNATTGTTTACCATCAAGTTTGTAAAAAACTTAAAATATGTATCCCCCTAAATCTTTTAAAAAAATAAACAAAAAAAAAATTCATGTATTTATAATTTAATTTCAACAACTATAATGTATGAAAAATAAGTTTTTTGGTTGAAAATTTGATTTAAATTGAAATTTTGCAGCACATTTTATTGTTGAGAGCTTATTAAACGAATATTTTTTAAAAAAAAAAAAATTAAGTTAAAAATATATGATTATACAAAAAATAAAAATAAAAAACAATATTCAATCTCTCAGGTGAGAGTGCATCCGTTATTCTCTCAGGTGGGAGCAGTCAATTTTCTGATCATCTTCCCTAGTTTTCCGATCATTTTCCGTTCATTCCTCTTTCCTTATTACCCCTTTATACCAGCCTTTTCCTAAATCATCTTCTTCATTTCTATTTTACCCTTTTTGTATCTCGATTCTAGGGCTCAGTTTATTATGTCAGAAAATCAAGACGAAGAATTATCAAATCAATTGAGGGGTTTCTCTCTATTAGATAAAGAATCTACATTCATAGACATTGTTCATACCGATGTCAAATTGAGTGCGGATAAATGCACCAGAAGCCTTTTTGGGAAAATAATTGGGGATAGAGCTGCCAGTTGGATTGGTATCAAAAGGACGATGACAAATATCTGGAGACTCAATCAAGCGATGGAAATCAAGGAGCTGAGTCCGAACTATTTTTAATTCATATTTCAAAGCCGAGAGGATATGAAAAAGGTCGCCAATGGTATTAACTGGAGCTTTGAAAACCAATATCTCATCCTTAAGGAATGGAGCAATGGCATATCAAGTAAGCATCCTTGTTTTCAAGAGCTTCATATTTGGGTTCAACAGCGTTTGCAAAATATGAAGCAGAAAAAGAGTTTGCCCCATAATTATTTTGTGAGGTTAAAAAGGATCCAAAAGTGTATGATAAACATATAATTATGCATACCTTCACTCGAGTCACCGTTGGATATGAAAAAAATTCTTAGAGCATCTTTAACAAATAAACCCCCATAAACCTCCTTTTATACTTCCCAACAAGTCACATCATCCAAAACTTTATTATTACTCCTATATCCATAAACCTCCATAAAACCCATAAACCTCATTTTTTATGGGTCCCACATATTTCTCACTTATTTTTAATTAATATTATACACTTATACTTTTATCAATATTTTAAAACTATAACTCCACTTTTTATTTTTATTCAATCTAAATATTTCATACTCTTAACATAAATACATATAAAAAATAATTTAATTATATAAAATTATATTGCCTTATTTATAATTATTTAAAATGACATTAGATATATATCATTATATTATTTAAATTTTTTTATAGTTATTTTTTACATACAATTAAATAAATAAATAAAGAGAAACTTCATTACACATAAACATTACAATAGTAAAGATTATATTTAATTACTGTATTTACATTTCTATATTACATATAAATTTCAGTTTTTAAAATTAAAATATTTATCGTATTTATCATAGTTTCTCAAATATAAAATATTAAAGAAAAAAACAAGAAAAATAATATGTTGAAGTGGAATGGTAGAAAAGATGGGTCATCTCTAACTCACCTCATTTTCAAGCGCGTAGCCACCACTTTAGTTTTTTTGGTTTATGTTGAATAATCACTCTCTTCACATTATCTATTGGTCGTTTATTTTTTTATTATTTAAAGAAGTTTGAAGGAGGTTTACATTGACGCTCCCGCTTTAAATTTTTAAACCTCAAACTTGTGCTCTTTAATGGTAAAACCTCAAAAGTGAGGTTTGTAAACCTCTACCAAAACCACCACTAAAGATGTCCTTATAGTTTGACCATCATGGAGTTTTAGCAATCCTGCTTTCAACAGCGTAGCCATTACACACTCCCAACTGATTCATAGGTTTCGACATCAAGAAATTTAAGTAGTTTAATAGGGTCTCCATTGCAACATTTCTCAAGCCACTCGTCTTTCATAATTCTCAAGCATTCTTTTTTAACAGCTGTAGAGCGATCAGTTAGACCCCGCAAGAGAATTGTTGTTCTGAGCTTGATACTTGAAAAAACATACAACAAATATCAGATGACCAATATAAAATTGATTGATAAAATATTTACGACAGTGTAACCTCACTGTGCAGTTGAAGAAAAAATTTCGAGTACATGAATGAGATATACCATCAACATGTCACCTGAACTTGGTTTGGAAGGAAGATAAAAATTTTCACCTCTCTATTTGAAGGTAAAACTCATTTAAGGAAGCATATAAAGCTTTTACTTTAAGAGAGATCAGGATCTGAGAGACATCAAGTTTGAAACGTATCAGAAATCCTCTAGAATTAATTCTTTCGTCTAATCTCGTATTCTATACAATTAGAACTTAGAAGACAATGCAGCATGGCCAACAGAATGACCTTAAAGAAAAGCTCTTCCTGCTTTGACCACTGGGTAATACGAGACACTAGGAAAACTTAAGAACTAGAAATTCTCATGCCCAAATAAGGCACCGTGAACGTTTCAGTAGTAATGACCTGGAGTTATATGGTCCGTAACAAATTCAAAAAGAATTCAAAATCAGCCCACATAGTTTTCATTCCCATCCCTAAAGAATTAAATTTTGTTGGTTCCACTAGAAAACAACATTCTCAATACACAATTCGGTGCTGGAATAGATAAATTAAGAACATATGATAAAGTGTTCAGGTAGCAGCAGTTTCAAAAATACTCTATGCTTAGCAACAGGCCATTGGCCTTGTGAATCAGATAGCAAAACTAGTTAGGAAGAAAAAAGAAGCAAAAATTAGAGCTAAAAAAGTTCTTGAGAACAACTAGAAGAACTACGGTTGAAGAGCTGTGAAAGACCAAATCACCTGAGGCTCTGTAGAGGAAATTTACTGGCTCGAACACAGTATGCTGCCTTTCGTACTGACTCATTTACATCCAGAGTGAAATCAATAATTACTGATAAAGTTGCGCTTGACGAAGGCAAAGACATCACAATTATCTTACGAACTTCCTGCAAATTTCATTTAATCAGAGTTGGGAAACATGCCCTTATGTCTCTTTAAGGCAACAACTTAATAAAGTTTTACCACATGTAAGCTCAACTAATTTACTAATTTAGTCAAAGAACACAATATGCTTTATGAAGTTTTAAAATAAAATGCAAGAGCTCTTGAAATTTGATGTTTGAAACTATTTCACTTCATGGGAATTTATAGATGTTATAACACATCTTCAGAAGGTTCAAGGCACCAAAAGATACCTTTTGGGACGTGTCCGGTTGAGTAAAACCGATTAAAAACTTGTCTAGAATGAACAGGTGCGTCAGGGTCGCAAGCTCGTCTCGCCAGCGACGCACTATCGCGTCCTTCTGCACCGTGTAGCATGCTTTCGTCTTGCGACAGTCGTCGCGCTACGGGGTCTGGCGCGCAGTTGCACGCTGGGAGCTGATACGCGTTCGTTCGGACTCGGAATTCAGTTTCGTTTTTCTTACATGTCCCCAACGGGCCCTTCTACAATTCTAGCATACACAATACATGATTATGGCTCTTTTAGTGTGTCCAAACATTTGTCAAAACATAATGTTTGTGAACTCTACAACCTTTGAGTTACTTAAACTCAATTATTCAATATATAACATTTAGAATTAATTTCTCATTCACCTTAAAATGGTTTTGAAAATTGTCTAAGTTTTTCACTTATGGAAAATGGAACCGCTAAATCGGTACAAAACTAATTTTTTCTTACAATCCCCTATATGAATGAAATTAATACATGTATGCAATACTTGAGAGTTCCGGCGAACCGTCATTGCATTAGGATAGATAACTTGTGGCTTTGAATCTTCCTTAGTGAAATACTATCGAATACACTACCCGGTTAGTAGCGCGATGCTTTGAACTTACCGACTGTTTATGTGCACCAAGACAATAGTATTCACAGAACAACAGCTCTAACAATATCTTGTTCTCACCTGTTTATCTCTTCTTGTTCTCTTTTGTACACGCTCATTATATGACATCCACGGCATAATGAAAGAGCTAATGAAAAGATGCATTGGAGATGTTCTTAGAGTTTCAATCCAACTAGTTTGGCTAGTTGTCTAACAAAAGATGTACTCATATATATGAGGATGCTGGAGAAAAAAATGTACATCATAACTAAATTCAGTAATATTTGAAGAGAAATAAGCTTTGATATTTCTTTCATGTTTTGAACTTGGACTCTTCAAGTCCATGATTATGGCTAAATAACGGATATATCTCTACTTAATTTTATTTTTCCTTTATAAAACTAGTATATTTTACTACTGGTATATATAAGGATGTCGTCAAGTATCCTTTTCTCATAATTCAAAACATTTTTCTAATTAACCTATAACACTGTTTGCAAGATGAAGAACAATCACCAACAGATCTTGAGTGTGGCTTTCTTGTTGACGCTTTTCTTATTAACTGGTTTTTTTATACTAATTTATGTTTTCTAATTACATTGAGATGGTTAGATGGACTAAAATTTTGAATGAATAGCTGGTATTTAAAAAAAAAAATCATAAAATCATTTTTCAGGAGTTTGTCTGGCGGAATCAGTATTTTTGTTTTCATTTTAAAATAGTTTAGTGTTGGAAAATGAATGTTGAGAACAAAATTTTAATTTTTATGTGAAATTTGTGATTAATAGATGAATATTAATTTTACATATAATATTTTAGAAAATGTTATAATTTCAAAAACATCAAAAAAGTATAACATTTGAAAATATATCCAACATAAGTATATAAATTTGTTCTTATGACATGTCAATTAATTAACTGTTAGATTATCTTACATAAAAATTTATATATTTTTAAGTAAATAATGATGTGGTGGTTCCTATTTACTTGATTCGAGCCACAATTTTATTTATACAATTATCAATTTATTTCTGTTAACTAATGTGGACAGATAGCACGAGAGTGGTGCAGGGTGTAAAGGAAACAAAGCAGCTGCAGATGCAAAGGAGCAAAACTTATCGTGGGGTTTGTGCTGATGCGGCTAGGTGCAAAAGGGTTTGTTTGGGTGAGAGATTCGTAGATGGGGCTTGTTTTGGAGAGCGAAAGCGTGTTTGTTTTTTTGCCAATTTTGAATATAGCAAAGAAGATTAGTAATACAAATTATAGCTTGTTATATCCTAAAGGAAATTGAATAATAAAAAATTTTAGTAAATAATTACTATACGTTGCTCTTTTTACATATTTGATGTAAATTTTGTTGTTGCTTTATATACTCTTGCGTCATATTATGATCTTATGAAATGAAAGGGATTAAATACATTTCAAATTATGGTCTATGTAGGCATTATTAATTGAAAGGAGACTTATAAAAGCTATTACATGAGAGAACACGTGATTACCAATACTTTTCGCAAAATCTTTAGATTTCACTTTGGAAATAGTTGTGAAATGTTTGGTTTGTTACAATAAGATGAAAAGGCTCAGAAGACAGTTTGTGCTTATTTTTTATTAGCTCCTCACATTGTATGGTCACATTGTTTATGTTTGGTGAGGAAAATCGGTAGGACGAAAATGGAGTGATATATAGGAAGGGATCTTGTACATTTAATTCATATAATCATTCGTTAAAACATACACATGCACGATTAAGATGCACAGAAGATTACTAATTATGAATATTCATGAAGCTTATCTTGCATTTTATCAAAAAAAAAAAAATATTACAGATTACAAAATTTAAATACATATAGTAAGAATCCCAAAATAATAAATAAATAATAACATTTTACTTGTGATGTGTCCACACCTGATTTCATGAAATTTCATGTCTTCTTGTTTTATTTCTCATCTATGACCATTTTAGTATTATTGTAACTAAATTGGGTTACATCTCTGAGTCTCTCTAAATATCTCCCATTTTTCAGTACTATTTGTCCTTTTTTTTCAAACTAGTAAAGTACACGTGTGATGCACGTGATGATAAATATTTTTTGTCGATTAATTTTAGTAAAATAAATTAATTGATATATTAAACATATCATTAAAGGAATGAAATCTATCTATCTATCTTCTATACTATTATAAAGGGACAAGTGCTTTTCTAAAAAGACGAACTGTCTGAAAATAATTATTAATATTTATTAAATTATGAATTAATGGAAAATTGTAAATATTGATTATTTACTCCCAATTGTAAATTGCCAATAGCCAATATTTTATAATCACGTGTTCATCTTCCAATTATTGTAAATCATGTAAAGTTTTAACTTACCTTGACGAAGCAGAAACAAATTAAAGGATCTTATACTAGGGATCTTTGTAGAATGAGTCGAAGATCATCCACTTTTGATTTGCCAGCAAGTATTTAATATATATATATATAGGATTTGGTTCAAATGAGAACTAAGTTCTAGTGTGAGAACCGTGAGAACCGCTATTTTTAATTGTATGTAGTGCTATGATTGATTGTATTTTAGTGCTATTTATAATCAGGATGTATTTTATTAAAAATAGCAAGACAATTTATGTTAGCATTTATAAAAATGATAGCACCATGTGAGACTAAAAATAGCATTATACACAATTAAAAATAGCATGAAATATGGTTCTCACGGTTCTCACACTAGGACTAGTTTTTATTTGAACCAACCCCTATATATATATATATATATATATATATATATAGNTTGTTAATATGACATATTTTAACTATTTTATAATATAATAATTAACATACATTCACACTAGAAGTGTGAAAGTTATACACGTATAATAAAATTAATAGTTAAATTTTTTCATCATTCTATTTATTATACACTTAAAATAAAATTTATAGTAAACCTTTTTTATCATTATTCTATTTATTGTACATGAATATATCTTTTTCTTTTAAAAATTTATATCACAGTGAAGGATGTATATCGACGTTGAAATGCGGCTAAGATGAATAGAAGATACAACGAGTTATCTGCTTATGATAAACAAGTGTATATTGATAAAAAAAGATACAGGTCTCAAGGGCCAAAATATGGGTGGTGCATGTCTTGATACCAATAAAGTTTTTGATGGATCAGAAGGTTAGAAATTTTTTATCCTATAATTCAAAATATATACAACTTTTTACGAGATCTAAATGAGTGGTATATGTTTTATTATACTTCATTTTTTTATTTTTTTTTATGTATTAGGTAGATTGTCATCACGCGTTTCATTTTTCCATGATTAATATTGTTATAGATGTAATGGTATCAATACTTTACTTTTGTAGAAATAAAAACATTAATGATGTCTTTGGTGTATATTCATAATTAATTTTGATTTACCCATAAATATAACTAATAAAACTTTTCCTTGGTAAAAAATATTGCATTTATCACTTGACAAAAAATATATTAACATATTATTTGTTTATATTGTATTTAATGTGATTTGCAATAGATATTATATCAATATTTTATCATTATCATTATAGTTATTATTATCCTTTCATTCATTTATGTGATTTGATAAATAATTGGCATCTGTCATTTTTAGGTTCAATTATGAAAGTGCATGTATCTTTGGCGATACATGAGTTGAAAACAATGCCCAATTGCATACATTGCGGTGCTCTGAAATTTCAATACGAGTGTCCAACATTTTGTTGTGATAATGGAAAAGTCAAACTTGCTCCTATTGAAGTCCCGGATGAATTATATGAATTGTTCACTTAACATACGGAAGAGGCAAAACAGTTTCGAATAAACATTCGCCTATTTAACAACATGCTCTCTTTTACATCATTAGGAGTCAAATTAGATAAGAACTTGCTTCTGCAAGACAAGGAGTCTATACTTTTAGTGCTTAAGGAGTAGTGTATCATGACCTTCCTAGCTTATTACCTAAAGAAGATGGACCTGGATATTTTCAGTTGTATTTTGTAGAAACAGAACGAGAGACTGAGAATAGAATGGGCATATTTCCAAACACCTCTTTATCTGAATGTATGGTTAACACACCTCTTTATCTGAATGTATGGTTAACTCATTAGTGTTTTGGATGTAAACCCATACACAAAAGTTTTTAGAAGATTGAAGGACTGTCCATCAATGGGTGAAGTTCGGTTCGATACCTCAAAGGATGCCAAATTAGACCAACGCGTGTATAATTGTTCGACAACTGATCAAGTCGCATCAATATGGGTTGAAGGAAATAATGTTAATATTCCCTTTGAACGTGACATTGTTATCCATGACATTCAAGTAATAGACATAGAGTAAAACATTATTTTGAATGTTATAATCCACTGCAGTATCCCCTCCTTTTTCCAAAAGGTGATGTTGGTTGGCATCAAAATATTTTGAAGATAACTGTTGATGAAAGATATATGAAAAAAGAAGGTACAATATCAATTTTTTTTTTTTATGTTAGCTACTTTGTATTTTATATATTGATATCACATTTCTTTTATTCTTTTTTCCAATTACATTTTCAGGTCTCAGTAAAAATATTGCTAGTATGTCATCAATCTCAAGTTTTTCTTGTCCAAATGACATCCTTTCTCAGGAATGCCAAGGTATACGGAATTGTCAAGAGGATATTACATGTTCTTTTGTGACGTCAAATATTTATTTAATTGATTACATTTGTATTTTTATTTATATATTTAATTTCCTTATCAAGTTTATATTATAATGTATTTTACATGTACTACTTTAAAAAAAATAAAAATTATGAGATAAAAGTATTTTTAACATTTCATTACATAACAACAAATCTTATTTCATAAATTCTTTATATTTTTTGTTATTTTGTTAAATTTGTAATTGTTATTGGAAAGAAATTGATGTTAAAGATTATTTTTTAATTATATTCGTTGTATACTATTCACAGTTGTTGGAAAAGAAAGCCCCAAAAAAGTGTCATGCAGAGAATATAGTTGCTACAGATTGCAAATTAGAAGTCCTAGAGAATCAACACTTTACCTTGGTGAAAGGTTATTTCAACAGTATGTTGTTGACATGTACATAAAATTGGAGACAACAAGATTGAATTATTATTGGTATAATCAATCAAACATGAGAGCTGAATCATACCAAGGAATTAAAGATAGTGTAAAAAAGGGAGAGACTAGAGGAAGTGAAGTTGGAAAACAAATTGTGTTACCTGCATCATTTATTGGAGGATCAAGAGATATGCGTCATAGGTATCTTCATGCAATCTTAGCATTGGCGCAAAGATTCAGAAACCCAAACTTATTTATTACAATGACTTGCAATCCAGACTAGACAGAGATAAAAGAGTTGTTGTATGAAGGGCAACAAGCCCGAGATCGTCCGGATTTGACGGTAAGAGTGTTTCGAGCAAAATTATAAGATTTGAAAGATCAATTGTTTAAGAAGAATATATTTGGAGATGTAGCTTTGTGATTGGTCGAAAAAAGTGTGTATATTATATATTTATTAGCGTATTTTTATATGCTTAATTTTGTCGTACTTATATGTCTTTCGACTTATTTATTTTTTTAGATGGATTCTTGTACTTTGATATTTTTATGATTTACTTTTAGGATATTGGAGTGTTTTCGGCGGCGACATGACATTGGAAGAAATTTCATCCAGAACAGTACGGGGATGTCCCGTATTGACCTAACGGTACCCCATACCAGCCCTATTTTCAGCCCCATTGTGGAAGAGGTCAACTCAAAGACCATCATGCATATGGGCTGGTCTAAAGCCCATTAATTTGCTGTTGAAAATTAAAAGGAAAAGGTCTTTAAATTACCTTGGTGTACCTTACGAGAATAGGGGAGGTGAGATATTAAGTGGGGCCCAAAAGTTTACATGAATTAGCCCACTTCCTGACTTATTTCAACAGCACATAGGATTTATTTGCGGGGGATGGACGCAGCCGCCATTATTCACACAACAACAGAAAAGAAAACAGAGACGCGAGAACGGAGCAGAGGAAAAATACAAGGAACCCGATCAATTACGGAGGGAGGCCGCACCGTACACGAGGGAGATAATTAATCTCTCTCTTTTATCTATTATTTCTTTTTATTTATTATGTTAGGCTAGTTTTATTTCTAGTTCCGGTGATGTTGAACCTTACGACTTGACGATGTTTGATTAATTTACGTGGTTGATAATTTTAATATCTTTTTAGAATTGTTTGTGTTATTTTGAATAATTAACCATGATGTGTTGAGTCTTATTTAGATTGATCACCTAGATTAGGCTTTTCATATCTACATTGTGAATTAAGATTGCAAATTAGTGCCGTTATAATTGCCGCTCTGCTTTATAAAATAATTACTGGACAATTCTTATTACAAATTGCTTTGTTGGGAATTAACGTTTTTTTATGTTTTGCCATGGCTGAATCAACATAATGGAGTGGAATTATTTAGTGAAGGTGTGTTAAATTGCTGATATTCATCATATTTTCATGCATTATGAGTGATATATTGTGATATTTGGCCCTGGTTATCGTGTGATTGTGCACCATTTTGTTTGATTTATTAATCTATGATAGAGGTGTTTTTGTCGTTGGTTTTGCAGGAAATATGCCCGGAAAAGCGTTGAAAATAGAATCGGGACGAAAAACGGCGAAAACGGGTGCAGAAGAGGTCACACGACTCGTGTGGGTAGTGACACGGGTCGTGTGGGTTGAGAAAATAAGAAACGCAGCTACGGCTTTTTCACACGGGTCGTGTGGGTTGAGACACGGGTCGTGTGGTCTCACACGACTCGTGTGACCCGGTCGTGTGACCAGTCGTGTGAGTCTGAAAGTTCACCGAAATGTTGAGAAAAGTCACACGACTCGTGTGGCATGTGACACGACTCGTGTGACGCGCAGACTAGACCTGCGGGGAATAGGATTCTTGTGCGATTTCTTCCCTTTTTCGACCCAGATTCGCCCTACAATATAAAATAGACCTGAGGAACTCGTTTTTGGGACTTTTGACACCATTGGAGGCCTAGAGAAAGCACGAAACACACGAGGGATTCGAGGAAGTCAAGATTGAAGATCCGAGAACTAACGGCGACAATAGTTCTTCTTTCTTTTCTCTTTTTCTTCTTCATTGAACTCATGAATATATTTATTTTGAGTTTTGAGAATATGTTTAGTAGCTAAACCTTTAAGAGATTCTAGGATTTGCGAGTACTCGGATTATTTTATGAAGTGATTTTGTTTATTCATTCCGGTTTATCATTCGTTTATCAATTTATTGTGCTTTTATTAATTGTGTGAATATAAGGGCCCGTATTTATGCATATTTGTGATTGACTTGAGACCGAGAGGAGATAGTTGATTGCTAAAATTGGGAAATTCATAACGTAAGAGACTAAACAGACCGAGAGGTTGATAGAATCTTGCGAGGGAACTAGAATCTTAAGAGCTTATGGGAGTTGATTGTTCATCTTGAGACCGAGAGGAGATAGATAACAATTAATATCTACGATTTAACTTGTTCGAGAGAAATGTGTAAATTACTTTAGTGATTATCCCTACGAATGGTAGAATTAAATAAGGTTTGAATGAATAGGAAATCTTTGTTAGAATAATCCCGAGGAAAGCATAGCCTAGAATCTATTTTCTCATTCTTGATTTATCTTAGAACAAGCCATCATTAGTGTTAGAATTTATTTTGCAATCATTCATTAATTTAGAATAAAATCACCATTCAAATTTGCATTAGACTAAATAATATTTAATCGTTTACATTCTGATACTTAGTTAATTTTGACAACAATCTCTGTGGAATACGACCTTGCTCGCCACTCACTACAGCTATACCGTACACTTGCGGATAGTGAAAATATTTTGCGAACAATTGCGTACCCATATTCATGGTTGTTGTGTGACCATATTAATTTCTTACTGATGCTTGAACTGTTTTGTGGCTTTAACATAAATCAGTTTTTTCCTGTGCTATGTGTTTGATTAATGATTATTGGAATTTCGTTTTGTTTCTATGTACAAAAAAGTTGTGTTCAGTGTATTGCTTATTTGTGAGACTTTGAACATCTCTTATATGTATACCCAATTGTTTTAGGATAAACGTCCACTGTCAAGCCTGTGTCTAAGTTCTACCTACATCAGATTGTTTGATTAATTCATGAATGATGACTTTGACTGGTATTTTGCCCCAAATGAGAAGGCCGACAACTTTACGACTCATAATCTTGCTAAGCCTAATGGTAGTGACGTGTTCCACATAATACAAAAGAAGAAATGCTCCAAATGCACAATCTCTTGAGCGATGCACTGCGTGCAAGATTGCCCCAGCTTTTTCCTGATCTTGGAAGTAGGTATCAGCATAACCTTACGGTATCATATTCGGTTTATGGTAAAGACGTATTTCAAACACGACCATAACCTTGGACTCCGGCTTGAGCCTTATTTGGACTTGGTGTGCACAACAATGCATAATGTTAGAAGTAAGTTATTGTTTTGCATAATTAAATGATAGTGGAGTTGACTTTCCTTACTAATATTTTGTGATTTTGTTTGTAGTGTTGCCTCGTCCATAGTTTATATTCGAAGGATCTATGTAGCTCAAGATACAATGACTCAATATGCGATTTCGGATCCTATAAAGAAACTCCGAATGTATCGCGTGAGAGGTGGGATTCATGTTGGACAAGCTATTCTGAAGGAGATCGTGTACGTCGTTGATGACTCTGGCAACCCACTAATGAAGACGGACCCTATTTTGCTTGCTGGAGACGACCTCTAACAGTGTGGAATTCCTTATCCCCCGAGTATTTGAAACTCGAACAAGTGACGTGTAACGCCCCGAATATATTTTACATTTTATGGAGCTCGATTTTATTTCCATAAATACAAAGCCGGTCCTGAAAAATTAAGGGCCCTGGGCTATATGATAAATAGTGCCCCTATAAAAGAAAAGGAAACAAACAGAATGGTCAATCAAATTAACATTCCAACAAAAAATTACAAAGCCCAGAACATGTCCAAATTAATCTACATACTGTTAATTAATGTGAAAAATTAGACAATCGAAAAAAAATAGAGTACTCTACAAAATAAAATTACCAGCAGCCGGAGTCCAATTCCCGCTTGCGGCGAACCCCGTTAATTTGAAGTCGTTTGTCAAAAATCGGATCTAATTTCATAGGCTCAAATGCAATTTTCCCTGTCAATTATTCCCTTCTCTTGTTGCCGCACCTCTATCGCACCCCGTCATATAAACGTGAATGTGTGTGAGAGTGTGAATATGCGAGTATGTGTGCGTGTACATGGGAGAAGAAAAAAAAACTGAAGAAGGAAAAATCTGGAAAAGAAAAATGAAGTAATTAACAAAAAGAAGAATAAGAAACACTGTTATATGTGTATATGAGGGAAGAAAAAACCTGGAAAGAAAAAAAAAACTAAAGAAGGAAAAATGTGAAGAAGAAAAAGAAAACTGGGAAGAAAAAAAACAAAAGAAGGAAAAATCTATTCTTCTAATATATAAAAAGAAGTAATGGCCTTTCCCGTTTGACACGTGTCTACACTTAAACGACATCGTTTCACTTTCGACCAAAACAACGTCGTTTATAAAGATTTTTTTAGGCCTGAGTTTTCTTTTTTCCTCACTTCGGACGAAAACCCTATGTGCTCCGACAGACTTGCGATGGCGAGCACCTGTGCTTTCTCATCGCGTTACTGAGGCGACCGGATTCTGGCACTTCAATGACCGGCGGCTCTCTGGCGATAGGTCATGGAGAGAGAGGTATGTTTTCGTTTGTTTTCTTCTCTGATTTTTCCACTTTTCTTTGTACATCTTTTTTACTCTTCGGTGCGCTCGATTAAGTTTCAGACTAGCAGATTGAAGAAAATAGCCGATTCGACAAATGAACAAACACATAACATGCAATAAATTAACAACAACATACCGGAAACAGCCATACTGAAGCTGCAACCGCCGACACAGACGCCCTTCCACAAATCTATCGATCATCGCCTTCGGAAGCAGCAAAATCGCCGGCGAGGACAGCAGCGGTCGCGGCGACGTGACTCCTAGAAAAACCCCGCACGCGAAGACCTCAACCCGCTTCTTCTCCGACGACCTGTTGATATGCTCTCTGAAAGGTACAGGGCCATTTATGTTGCTACATATATAAAACTTTTCTTAAGTTGGTTGCGGGAACTTAACGTTGAGACGAGTGCAAACAAACAAGTGTAATTAGGGATTTGGACTAATCATGCAGATTTTCAGTCTTGAAAGATTTCTTATTTTGGCTATTACTTTTCAGTATGTTTGGATGGAACATTATAGGTCTATCACTTTCATCGTAGGTTCGAAACAGGTGCTAACAGTTGGCTCATCCAGTTATAGGTTTGTGCATAATTCTGTGGGATGTTAACATATAGTTTGATTGATTTCCACAAAATAAAGAATAAAATAAAAGTAAAAGTAATTATGTTTGCTATACAGTTTGATTTTTTCAGTGTAAAGAATCATATATCATGTATGACATTTTGAATTCAGTTGACAACACTGTTCATGGTTTAGATTCTTGACATAATGTACTAACTAATGTTTTTATAAGGTGAAGTGTGTATGAGATGGTTTTATGCCTGTCATGTTTTCCAACTTTGGTCGGACTTTTAATCTTGTGAGTTAGATTTATCACTTTACGAGCCTTGTGGCAGGGTGGAGGATGGTGCAACAGTCTCAAGTCCTGTATTTACCGTAAAACGACACGTCGTGGGTCGTCAACACACTTTGAGAAAATAATTCCATTCACTGGGTTACTTAGCAACAAGGCTGAAGAGAATCCAGGTCCATAAGACTGAATAAACATTTTCTTTTAGAATGGCAACAAGTTTAGCTTTCCCCGTCTTATATGATGGTTTATTATTTTATTTCATTCTCAATTTACGGTATGCAGATTTCTTCATCTAGAACAGAGTAACAATACGCTACTATGATGGTGCTTCCTTCGCTGCCGATGGTGACAATGAAGTATGTTTAGCATTCTCTCCTATTTGGTTTTTGTCTGGGATTTTTCTTACGAGTTTTATTTCTTTGTTTAAGAGTTGCTTCCTCTCCACACAGAGGTGCAATTGGTAAAATAGCTACAATATGTCTCAATAAAATGTCTGTGATTTCGAAAAATAACTAGGTTTCATTCATTAATGAAACATTGTTGATAATGGCAGTAATCATAATAAGAATAATAATAATAATCATGATGGTGATGATGATAAAAAGTGACTCAAGAGCTTGTGTCGAAGGCACGCCTATAGATTGTTCTAACATAGACAGACCTTGTGCTTCCGATATCGTGTACTAGCTTGACTATGATATGATTTATCCGGCCTGCTTTTAGGTTTTCTTAGGATTTCTATGAGTTCTAGATAAACAATTGTGTGACTGGCATGTTATCGCTTCTTGGTTGGGTGTGTGTGTCGTTGTTCGGTTTCTGGTATTAGTATCAAATATGGAAGTACAATAGGGTTTTGTTTTGTTTTCACTTAGGTTTTAGTGAGTTAGACCCAAAAAAACCACTTATATGTTTCATGGTGTATGACTTGTTGTGAGAACTAATTCATCCTTCTTTTTATTTTTCATTCATCTCTTAATTTTTTTAACATGCTCATCATAAATATTTGCAAGTAGGATTTGCAAGTAGGATACTAACTATTATTCTTCATGAGCAGACATAAAATATAGATACATAAACCAAATAATCTCTCACTCTCATTTAGACATATCATTTTCACTCTGTACTTCATGTTAAATGAATATTTAAGTAAATGGCTATGAAAAATATGTTTCCATCTTTAAAGCAATCAATGATGTTATAAACTTACTATTCCTTGAAGTTTAAGGACAATGTTTACTTAAGCTTTTTGGTGGCAAATAAAAATTTATACTATTGTCAATAAGTTAGGTTGTATATGTTTTTTTTTTGTTCCTTTTCATATTATTTTTTTTGTTATTATTATGTTTATGTTCATCTTCTTTGATGCCATCAATTTTTTTTAGGCAAATTGATTATTTCTTTCTTTTACCTTCATTTATAACTTTTTTGAACACCCTTATCATATATGTTACTAAAGAGGATACTAACTATTGCTATTCATGGATAGAAATAACAGTCATATAAGTGCTTGCAGCAGCAATTTCTTGGTGGTTCTTGGACATGGAGTTGGTTTATGCTACCAGGTTAGCTAAACGACGACATCTAATATTGTATTTATTAAATTTGCTTGTGTAGATAAGAGGTTGTGTAACAGCAGTTTTGGTTAATCTGTTGTTGCTATTTCATTGCTTGAGCAGTACTGGAATATTGGTGCTTGCAGTTATGATATTTAATTTTTTATTGTTCTGGTGTAACTACAATATTAAGGGGGTTGTATTCAGTTGAGATTCTTAAAGACTTTTTAAAACTTTTTAAATTTGGTGACTTTTGTGGACTTTGTAAAACTTTTATAACTTTGATGGACTTGTTGGGACTTTCAGAGAATTCTCATTAGTGACTTTTTAAGATTTTCATAATGGACTTTTTAGAACTTATTGAGACTTTTATATACTTGTAGTTATAATATTATGTTTGAATAAAACATTAATAAACATAATATAATAACTAATATCAAGAAGAATAAATGAAAAAAAAAATTATATATTAATCTTTTGAAAATTTATGAATCAACTCATTGTTATACGAAATGAGTTATTTACTAACAAATTGTTTAGGATTTTAGATTTATTAAACGAGCAAATCAATCCGAGCTTCAACGAGTCGAATATGAAAGATACAAACATTGTCGAAAAATAGTAATTGTATTTTATAAAGTTATCAATAATATTCAAACAATTCAATATCAACAAATAAACTATTAGAAAATAAAATAGTTTTATTAATATTAAAAAATAAACATTGACAAATAAAAAGAGAAAACAAATAAATTATTTACAAGTGCAAATTATGGAAGCCTTTAACCTTTGAAAAATCAAATTCACAAGATAACAAAATGAAAGAAAATGTATACATACATAAAATAACCATAATAAAAAATATATAAAATAAAGATCACGTTAAATATACGTAATGAAAATAAAAATAAGACAAGATATCAAAATAAATGAGTAAAATAATAGAGCATGAAAGTGATATGAGATACAAAGTCGTATTAGAAAGTAAAAGGAAAGAAAGCGTGAAGTGAGTCACATAAGTCCAGAAAAATCTTACCAATTGATGAGATCTCTGTTGGGACTTTCTCTTTGTAATTTTGTTAGAAAAGTCTCTAAAAGTCTCACAATTTAAAAAGTCTCACAAAGTCTTCATATTTTGAGTACATGGTGACTTATAAAGGCTCTCGGAAAGTTTTAATTGAATACCTTGAGACTTTTAAGGACTTTTTAAAAGTCTTTAAAAGTCTCAATTGAATATATGTAAACTTTTTAGAAGGTTCTAAAAGTTCTAATTGAATTCCCAGAATTCTAAAAGTCTTAAAAAGTCTCTAAAAGTTTAAATTCGTTTTCCTTAGTTTTCCTTACATGAGTTGGTCTTGGTTGCTGTGTGTTTTTTATTGGAAAACATTTTCCTAAGCTTGTTCTTCTGTCTATCGGTCCACATCACGATCTATGTTAAGTCCTTAGCATAACAATTATATATTAAATGGATAGTCACTATACTTTGAAATTCTAAACGTTTTGAATTTTAGGCTTGACAGTTCATGTAAATATGTGTGCCTGGAGTTCTTTTTGAAAGAATTTACTTATTAACTTTGTCGATTGTTGCCATTTCATTTTAGAATAGTTTTAAAAGATTACATTATCTTTATGTTTACATATAGATTATTTATAAAAATATTCCATACGGCACATTCTATTCCCTCATTTACTATGTAAAATATGATACAATGATAAAAACATTAATAAGACATTACTACAGCCTCCGGCTGTGCATGGCACAGCCTCCGGCTGCTAGTTTGAAGAAGAAAAAAGAAGAGGAAGAAGAAAGATAATGGAAGAGAGAGAAAAGAAAAAAACTAATAGATGAGAGAAACCAGAAGAAAAATAATGGAAGAGAGACAAAAGAAAAAAACTAATATAAAAGACATTATTATTGACTCGATGTCCCTAAAAAATTGTTTCTTATCTTCTCACTTTGGTGCCCCTCAAAAAGTGTGTCCTGGGTGGGCCCTGGGCGGTCGCCCTGCTGGAGGCCGGCTCTGCATAAATAGTCAGTTCCTTATTTGATGCATTTATTATTATTATTTGCATTAAATCAGTAATTAATTTAAAGTTTAAGTCATGGAGAATTTATTCGATTCTTAATATTAAAATCGAATTTATTTAGCCCAAGTATCGGTGTTATTTTCATGATAACACCGAGCCTTGGAATTTTATTAAAATGGACTGAAGCCCAAATATTTAATCTATTCGAGCCTAATAATTTTCGAGCAAGTCCAATTATTTTAGCCGTCCCATTTAAGTTAATTGAGTCTATGTTCAATTTTATTTCTATCTATTCCATTTAATCAAGCCCATGTTCGATTTTATTTTTGTCTATTTTAAAATCGAGCCTATAGTTAATTTTTAAATCCCGACCCAATTATTTTAGTAAATCTGAACGACTGTTTTATTTAGTCCGAGTCTAGTTAATTTTCTTAGTCGAAAATTTAATTTCTTAGTTAATATCCCTCTCTTACCTCTTGGGGGTTTCTTTTGCTGACACATGGCGTAGTCTTCAGCTTTTCCTATTTTCTTATTTCCATCTGTACTCTATGGCCCAAAAACTTGAGTAATGTTGGGCTGTGTTTTTCCAATTAAAAGGCCCAGTTTTTCATTATGCGGGCTAGGGTTTTGGGGTGTTCGCGTGCAGCCAGAGCGCCGCCGTGTAGCCGTCTTCCCTATCTGATTTCCCGGTGCTCCACACCACACGGAGGTTGTAGACGAGCTTCAGGGCCTTCAGCGGGTCATGCTCCCACGCGAACATCAGGCGCTTGGTCAGGGTCTCCGACAGCGTGTCGGGGATGACGTGGAAGAAGAAATCAAGACAGGGATTCCTCTTCAGAGGAAGGTCGGCGAGAAATTATCCGTCAGAGATAGACGAGTTCCCACACGTGGAGAAGAAGGTCGGCGAACAGTACCTGTGACCGGCGGTAACCGGTAGCTTTGGACGGATGGCGGCAGTGCGACTACCCGGCGGGGCAGCCCGCGACTCAAATTGACGGGGCGGCATCAGAGATTAGGTGCTTGTGGATTTTCTCTTCAATTTAATTTTTTTATCTGTTTGTATAGCTGAACAAGTTTTTTTAACAGGGTAAAAATTGATTTCTTCTTAGGAAACGTCACCTCGAAGGCTCCGTCACTGGAGGAAGTGGACAATGCCTCCAGCACGTAGGGTTTGTTTCTCCACCTATAATATTTGATTCTTCTAACGTCGTTTATAACGAAAGAAAAAGAAAGCAACTTGAAATCGGACCACTAAGTTTGATCTGAATGTTACCATATTGCACTTCACTAATTATTTTTATTTTTATTTTTATTTTTTTTTCATATTGGAACAGTAAGTCAGCTGTGTTGGTTGCGAGGTAAGAATGGTTCAGATAAAGCAACATTTTTTTATCAAAAATTCGAAATGTGTCGGAGAATTTGCCGAAGTGGATTGTCTCTTGTTGCTCAGCCTAATACTTATTATTGTTCTTAAGGTATGTGTACCCATCTGATTCTTATGTGTGCAGCTCTAATTTTTACCGTCGTTAGGATCAGTTTATGTCTCATTATTTTGGTTAACATTTTAGAAATTTCATACTCATGTAATTGTTTCGTTATTGTCATGCTCAAGGCTGTGCATTAAGCTGTTGGGCTATTCTTCACCATTTTTTGGCTCTAGGTCCATTGGTGTGTTTATGTTAATATCTCAAAAATTATATGATATCAAAGTGTATAAGGTATTCGAGCATAGTTCAGAAATTACTCACATGATGAGCAAACCAGTTGAGAACTTATTAGCAGTAGTATAATAAGAGGACATTTAAGTCTATTGATTTGTCTCTTCAAATCTCGAAACATCTTATTAATGGATAATCTATTTGGAATCTTAAGAGGACATCTTATTTATTGCAGGTCGCCCGACATACAAATGTTGTTACTGTGGACCGGACCTGTGGTGACAGGCATTGTTGCATTGTTAGATGTGCAGGTTTGAAGGTAAATCTCGACATTTTGGTGTGTAATTTATACATATTTCTCCTGTGGCTTAATTTTTCTAGATTATTAGTGGTTAATATTTGGAATGTAATATTAAAGTTTGGCAATTTAGCTTACGGTGGCCACCATAACAGCTAGAAAAGTCATATATAGCCTTGGCCAATAAAGAGACACTAATTGAGACACTAATTGCTGGAGGGCCTTTTGTCCTTCCTCTTGCACACAAGCACAAAGCCAAGATTCTTCCTCCAGATTCCGAATATTTAGCTATATTTCAGGTACGTATAAATTCTAATATGGTGCATCCGTATAAATTCTAATATGAAATTGTTCTTTATCATCGTGTAGTTTTTATATGTTTCAGTGTATACAAGGCTTTTGCCCGAAGGTGCTCTGAGGCGCATAATTTTGACGGCATCATGAAGAACTTTCCGGTTAGGTAATTTTTTGAGATTCTTTGAATTAAAAATTTTATAATTGGTATGGAAGGTGCATAGATTAACTCTCATGTGGATATAAAAGTTAGAAGGATTTATTGCTTTTCTTGAGTCTAATTACGTGTCTTTAATTCTTTATATGGGATTGAGCTGGTGAAAATATTTTTCTTGCTTATATGCATGCACTCTTTTTATTTTCTTTGTAGTATATATGATTAAATTTTGCTAAATGAAAGTGTAGATTGGGATAGGGATTTGTCAATTGATAAATTTAAAGATGTCAAAGTTGCAGATGTTTTAAAGCATCCCAATTGGGATATGGGGAAACAGATTAAAGCCGACTCCGACTCTGCTACATTAATAATAATAATAATAAAAATATTGAAATTAATTGCATATTGCACGATCTTTTTTTTTTTTGGGTTTTAACGTGGATAATTCATGTGGTTTTGATAGGGTTTCGAAGTTAAAGAAGCTCACTATCTTTTTGTAGCCGAATATGATGATATTAAGATTGTTGGATTAGATAACGGGGTGGAAGATTACGCATAGTTCAACTCATTAGTTTGGTAGCCACACGATTTCGGTCGAAGAACAACTTCAGAATCTATTTAATTTGTCGTGGTTATTTTTCTACTCAATTTGAACATTGCCATGGGCCGGCTGTGCGATAGGCTCCTAGTTCGATTTAATCAAGCCCAAGTCGAATGAAATGCATAGCCCGATTATTAAGCCCAATAAGACAAGCAAACCCTAGTCTTCCTATCACACTATAATTCCATCTACCAACAATACCAAAACCCTAGTCCACTCCACTATTCATCACCATCTTCACCCCCACTCCCGCCATTTCTCCGGCGAGCCTCCGAGCACCGGCGAATCGCCGTACCTGGGCCCGCCGGCAAACGCACGACCTCACGCCCCTAGCCTCTGTTCTCGCCTCCCAACCGCGCCTAGCTCCCCTCTCGCGCCGCCTCCACGCCTGCGAGCTCAGCTCAGCCTCGACCCGCCGCTGCCGAGCCTTCTCGTCGCCGAGTCTACACTTCGCCGAGCCCAGCACCTCATGACGACCGGTTCCAGCCCCTCAAGCCGTCCCTGCGCACGACCAAGATCCGTACGCTGCGCCTTTGCTCGTACCGCGCCTGTTCAACCCGAGTCCAGCTCCGTCCAGCCCGAGTCCGCCGCAGCCAGCTCCGGTTCCAACCTACTCGTGCCCGAACGTTCAGCTCCACGCCATCCCTGACCGAGTCCACTCGGTTCCACGCGCGTCCAGCCCGAGCTGAGCCAAAACCGAGTCGGCTTGCTTCAGATCCGCGACCCAGTTAGTGGACTCAACTCGTCCGGCACCAAACCACCTCAGGTCCGACCCGGTTAGGCAGTCACGACCCGATTTCACCTTACCTGTCCATTTCACTAGCCTTCCTTTTTCCGATTTGAGCTGATTTGAGGTAAAATCCAATGGCTTAGATATGTTTAATGAGATATTATAAAAATGCTAATTTGGTGATTTAACGATTTTTGAATTATTTGAATTTTTCGAGCTCAAAGTGGATTTTTTTAAGTTTTTATATGAATGAGATAAAATGCTAAACTAAATTTTATAAATTTTGTTGAATTGTCTTGAGGCTTAGGATGCGGGTCGAGAAATTTTTAGAGTTTGTTTGATAGACGAACGGATTTTATGTGTATTTTGACCGGTTAATGCGATTATTAGTTGAATGAGTTAGGAGTTGAATTTGGGCTTGATATGTTGACCATAGATCTTGTGTATGTCGAGGATGACATGTTGCGAATTTCGTGTTTTTTGGATGCCGTTTAGTATAAATTAAAAATCGGGACTTTAGCCGATAAAATGCTATATTTTAGAAAATTTGCCGGTTTAGATTTCAGCTGTTGATTATTAAAAAAAAGGTCCAGCTCATGGGAATTTGCCATTATATTGGTCGAGTGTTTGTCCAGCTCATGAGTGTATGTTAAGTTATGTGGTTTAATGACATGATTATATTGCTGTTGGTATGTATTAAGTTCAGAACTATACGTTCAGTAATAAGGATTAGTTTAAGAAAATAAGTAAATGAAGTGGTCTTCATTGTGTTTGATCTTGTCCTTAGTTTTGCTGAGTTTTGGACACATTTAGATTACTGAAATTGTTGTTTTTTTTAGAGGTATAAAATCACTTTATACTGATTAGCCTATTTATGTGTTGTGATGCTTGAGAGAAAAAGGTTATCGTTATTGTTTGAAGCAATGTTTGAATTTTTTTTCCGTGTTGAAGGTGGTGTTCGGTATGCTTATTATATGGAATTGTTATAAGATTGAAGTAATGTTTGAGTTTTTTCATGTGCTGAAGTTGATTTTCGGTGTGCTTATTATATTCAATCGTTATAGAATCTACGTCCACCGAGAAAGCTGTTTCTAGATTCTCATTACATCAGAGGTTACAACTACTTCAAGAGTGATGCTGACAATGACTGGGATTTTGCCCCGAATGTGGATGCAGACAATTTTGCAGCTCATTTTCTTGGTAAGCCTAATGGTCATCATGAACAAGTTTCAACAGCTTTTACAATGAAAACATGGTCCAATGTACCATCTTGTGCGCGAAACTGTGCGCGAAAGATTGGTCGAGCTTGTTGTAGATCTTAATTCTAAGAATCAGGATAACTATTCCGTTGTTGAAAAGTTACAGTATCATGTTAAGTTTCTGCTAACGGTTATTTCAAGCATGGACATAATTTAGGATTCTTGTTTGAGGCATATCTGGACTTGGTTTGCACTGCAATCCACAATGTTAGAAGTAAGTTAAATGATAGTGTTGACTTTCATAATTAAATAATAGTGTTGACTTTGATTACTAATATTTGTGATTTCGGATGTAGCATTGCCTTGTCCACAGTTTTTACTCTCACGATATGTGGTAGTTGAAGAAACGGTGACGCAATTTGCGGATCAGAATCTCATAATCAAACTCCGTTTGTATCGCGTGATACGTATGATTCATGCTGGACGAGCGATTTTGAAGGAATTCTACAAAAACAACTAACAGTCTCTAGAATATTCGGGGGATAAGGAATTCTTCATCCCCTTGGAGGATGTCTCCAGCAATCCGAATAGCCGTCGGCTCCATTAGTAGGTTGCCCAAGTTGTCGACGACGTACACGATCTCCTTCAAAATCACTCATTCAGCATGAATCCCACGTATCACGCGATATAAATGGAGTTTGATTATGGGATTCTGATCCGCAAATTGCGTCACTGTTTGTTCAGCTACCACAGATTTTGAGAGTTCTACATTTGAAATCACAAAATATTAGTAATCAAAGTAAACACTATCATTTAATTATGAAAGTCAACACTATCATTTAACTTACTTCTGACATTGTGCATGACAGTGCAAACCAAGTCCAGATATGCCTCAAACAGGAATCCCAAATTATGTCCATACTTGAAATACACTGTTACCAGAAACTTAGCATGACGCTGTAACTTTTCAGCAACGGAATAGTTATCCTGGTACTTAGAATTAAAATCCAGAACAAGGTCGGTCAGTCTTTCGCGCACAGCTTCGTTAACAAGATGGTACATTTGAACCATATATCCATCTGTAAAAGCTGTTGGAACTTGTCCATGCTGACCATTAGGCTTACCAAGAAAGTAAGCTGCAAAGTCGTCCGCATCCACATTCGGGGCAAAATTCCAGCCATTGTTAGCATCACTCTTGAAGTAGTCGTAACCTCTAATGTAGTGAGAACCTAGAAACAGCCTGGTGGACGTAGATTTTATAACAATTGGGTATAATAAGAACACCGAACACCAACTTCAGCACAAGAAAAAAACTCAAACATTACTTCAATTCTATAACAATTGGGTATAATAAGCATACTGAACACCAACTTCAGCATAGAAAAAAACTCAAACAAATATCTGTAACCATTTCTCTCAAGCATCACAACACATAAATAGGGTAATCAGAAAAAAGTGATTTTATACCTCTGAAAAGAAAACTACGATTTCAGCAATCTAAATGTGTTCAAAACTACGATTTAGGACACCTTGTGGGTGATCCTCTCGGTTATGGCTAGTTAGCCATCGAACTCTGTACATTTATTCTAGTTATTCAGTCTATCGTTTCGTTAAAAAAAAAAAAAAAAAAAAAAAAAAAAAAAAAAAAAAAATGTTCAAAACTAACACAAGATCAAACACAATAAAGCCCATTTCATTTACTTCTTTTCTTAAACTCAACCAATACAAATCAAATTCTTATTACTGAGCGTATAGTTCTGAACTTAATGGATAACAATATAATCATGCCATTAACCCACATAGCTTAACATATACTCAACAAAAATTTCATACAAAATGGGAACACAACATAGGAGGCCAAAATATAACACAAAACCAACAATATTTATATTCACAAACCAAATTTGAATTCATCTTTTCATAAACCATAACATTAACAAAATTCTTAACCAATCACAAAAAAAACACGCTAATAAAAAGTTAAAAAAAAAAGGAAGACAAACTCTCGACCAATATAATGGCGGATTACCATGAGCTGGACCATTTATGAAATAATGTCGGGTTGGATTTGAGGCAAATGCCGACATTATGGAGTGTGAATGGAGATGATCTCTAGGTGTAACGAAGAGAGTGAATGGTGGGACTGCGACTAAGAAATGAAACCTAACCTAATTAAATTTGGGCATAGTAATAGCAAAGCCCACAGGACCAAAAGATTGACCCATTGGGTACGACCCCATTACGGCCCGAACGGAGAGAGGGAGTCTTGGTTTAAAAAATGACTTCAAGAGCAAAGAAACTTCGCTATAGGGAATACGAACTTGCTAGGTCGACTGTAAACAAGTCGAGCAGGTTAAATAAACGAGCCTGAAATCAAGCTCGAGCTCGGCTCGTTTAACACTTATAACGAGTCGAGTTCGAGCCGATCTCGAGCTTTAACGAGCTACACTATAGAAAATTATATAAAAAATCTCTTTTCGCTCGTTTGATTGTTTATCGAACGAGCCGAGCTGAACTCGAGCCTTAAAAGCCGAGTTAGGCTCGTTTAATTTAACAACACTAATTGTTATAAATAAAATTTACCAGAGAACCTTCTTCAGAAGGTTGTTAAACTTCTTCACCACGGATCTTATTATCCAAGATCTTATCAATTTCAATTGAAAGAAAAAATTGTTCATCATCCAAATGATCTTATCAATTGAAAGATTAAAAGTGTTCAGTTTAATCCTTCGAAAGATAAGATCTTTTGAACAAGAAAAATATTTTTGAGTAAAATTTGAGATCTCTGAAATTAAGATTGCCTTTCAGAAGTTAAGAGAAGGGGGGTATGGTTTGTCCTCAATGTTTAAATATATAATTATGAGAGATAAGCACGCAGTATGCCTTTATTACTTGAATTAAAAGTATAGATTTAGTGCGAGAATTCAAACTGCTCCATCATCCACTTATTTTGCAGAAGGAGTTTCGTCAACCAAAACTAAATTCAAAAGTTATAGTTAATAAAAGAAGCTATTAAAACACGCATGAGTTGCGAAAATGGTTAGGTCTCCTACGAAAGACTTAAAGGAGCATTTAGGGGCGCTTTTTTTTGGAAATATCATAAGAGAAGAAAGGTCCACGTACCGTTCTGCGGGTAATTATTTACCTAGAATTCTCTTGAATCAACAAGCGAAAGATCAAATAAGAAGGTGCAGCCTAGTCTCTGTCCGTGATAGAGGGATTGACTATTGGGTTTCGTTCGAAACACGTTAGCTTCTAGTATAGGCGTTCACTTTTATTCTATGTTCACTTCTATTCTATATTCTCAGATGTTCAACTCGAAAGTCGAATAGAAAGTTAGACTGAATCGGCCACAGTCAGAGCACAATGACCCCAAAAAGGAGCGCATACACGCACGAGCGAGCAAGTCCCCTTATTTAATTTAGAACGACGTAATAAAGGAACTAGCTGCCAAACGAGATGAGGAACTAGCAAGCAACTCCCCTTATTTAATTTAGAACGACCATACAAACTTTTCGAAGCGCTAATTCTTTCTTTCCTAGTGCATCAACAAAGACCAAGCTAAGAACGTCATGGAAGAAGTGAATGGTGGAATCGAACCAAATCGGTTGTTTACAGTTACAGCAAACAAGAAATAAGAGCAGTCGTGTGTCGTTCCTCTCCCGCACTACCCCTATCAAGTTCAAGTACAAACTCCGACCTGTGCATTCGATTCGCGGGCCTACCGAACACCTTTGGTATTGCTTCAACCCACTTGGTGTAGAGGAGGGCGAGGGTCTGTTTTCACAAGAAGATTGGCTAAGTGTTCTGGGGGGAAGAATGGTAGAGATAAGAATGATTCTGCGCCAATGAGATTTTTTTATTTGAGAGAAAAAAGAAAACTATGCCTTCGCCCTTCAAGCTTTTGTGATAGACCTTGTTCAATTTTGTTTTCTCTACAAGGTACGTTGCTTTTTCCTTTCTCTGCTATTTAACTTTTTTTTTTTTAAATCCTTTTATAATCTACATGCTTCACATTGAATTGGACGAGTAAAAATTTCGTAGGTGTTTATTTTCTTAATTATATGGTAGAAAAATAATTTTTTTTTTATGAATGATAATTTTCTCTTATCTAGTGAACACCATTGTTGGTTATCTTGCAGATAGTTTGTGGATGGCCGCAAACATGAACAGGAGTCGAATTAGGCTTTCAATGCTCGTGATCGTAATTTTTTTCTCGATATTTCTACATGATACTGCTACCATGATTCATGCAACCAGGTATTTAATTTAATTTTTTTTTAAACATACGTTGCTATAACATGTTCATGAATATTCAACAATTAATACCATTCATATATTTTTTTTTTTAACATGTTGATGAACTGAACGGCTCATTCATGAATTTATTCATACTTTTGCTTTAACATGTTCATGAATTATTGAATTTAAATTCATTCTCATTCCACTTATAATAATGGCTGTAAAACAATACTTGGCCTTGTCTGCAAAAACAAAATTGTGTGTAATTGTATGAGAACCACTAGAACGTTATTTTAAATCGTGTTAAATATTGTTTTTATTGTGTTTGGTCATATTTTTCATTATGTTTTTTGATTGTGAATACAACAACACTATGTAGTAGTATATTTGTAAATGATAACACCATATTAAAAATGGGTCATATACAATTAAAAACAGTATCACATTTTTCATCAGACTTCTTTTTATTTAAACACGACCTTGTATATACATATATATATATATATATTTATATATATAGGGATTGATTCCAATGCATTCACTTATTTAAAGTGAGGACGTGAGACTCATTTTTAGCCACAAGATTTGGTACACATGTGTGGCCAAAATTTACTATTTTCTTTTTACTATTTTAATTATTTAAATATTATTTTGACCCGTTGACTCCGGCGTTGACCGTTGACTTCCGGCGAAATCCGTTGACTTCTGACCAACGCCGTTGACAACTAACCTTTCAACTAGGTTAGTTCTATGTAGTTGCTAGGCTAGTTCTATGTAGTTGATAGGTTAGTTGTCTGTAGTTGATAGGTTAGTTCTCTATAGTTGCTAGGTTAGTAGTTGCTAGGTTAGTTTTCTCTGCAATTAGTTGTCTGTAGTTGCTAGGTTAGTAGTTGCTAGGTTAATTGTCTGTAGTTGCTAGGTTACTAGTTGATAGGTTAGTTCTTGTAGTTGCTAGGTTAGTTCTTTGTAGTTGTTAGATTAGTTCTCTATAGTTGTTATGTTACTAGTTGCTAGGTAAGTTCTCTGTAGTTGATAGGTTAGTTCTCTGTAGTTGCTAGGTTCTCTGCAGTTGCTAGGTTAGTAGTAGTTAGGTTAGTTGTCTGTAGTTGCTAAGAGTTGTCTGCATTTTAAGAGCTGGGCGCATTTTAAGAGCTGACCGCATTTGATCCGCCCCTATATATATATATGTATAGTATGAACACGTTTGCTGATTTTATAAGAGTAGCATAAAGTTTTTCACTTGGCAACATTAAATTAAATAGGTCAAAAGAGACCAACTTATGAATATCTACCAAACCAATTTGGAAATAAGATAAATTCTTTTCAATGTTGGTTATAATATACAAACCTGTAGACTTTAAATTGTTAATTGAAACAATAATATTAATAAAAAAATCGTTACATTGTACCATGTAAAAATTGCAAATTAATTCCAGGCTGCCAAAATATAAAAGTAATATTAATTTTTGTTGACCTTTTGTGTTTTGATTTATTGTTATGAAGTGCGGACATAGAAAATCTGGAGAAATAAAAAGGGGAGTTTGTTGATTAGGATTTAGAAATCGGTAATCTGCTTTGTTATGCAGTAGAAGTCTTGATAATCTATTGAAAAGTAGGCGTCCAACCACACAAATGATAGATATTAGCACCTTTTTTTCTTTTCTTGGGACAGGACTTTTTTTCATAACTAATCGTAATAACCTTTTGTTGAATTTGTTGTCACAATGCCTTACTAGCTTGTTTGTGGATAGGGAAATTCACTAATTCTAACGGAAAAACCTTCCGATTTCAACTGATTTACAGAAAACAAAAACATATTTTTTTTCATTAGTTAGACTATAGTTCAACCAACTATAAATTGTCAATTTGGTACGTGTTAATTAAAAGTTCATTTACTGCCAATGTATTAATTTGAATATGAACGGCTAGGATTCTTAATCCTATTTTGACACAATTACATGTTTCGGATGCCACATAATCAGATTGGTACACCAAATAATATGCTCATGATCTAAACATGAATATGTTCATATTTCATAAATTACTTTTTTAATTTTTTTTCTGTTGCTCGTCCATTTTTTATTTTTTCCATAAACATGTATTTTTTTTTATTTCAATAAGAATTGTATTCAAACGATATATATATATATATATATATAAGCCTATAGGAACTTTTTGGTTAAAGAAAATGCGATAAATTATTCAATTTTCAAAACAATTAATCTTTAAATCCTTAATAATGATTTATTAATGTCTGTGATTTATGTAACTTATTAATATTCATGCAAAAAATTATTTGTCAAGTAGACATGTAGTACATGCCTATGGGTAGATTATACAAATTGTACATCAATATATTACATAATATATTACATATTTTAATAGGTAGATTATTAGATTAACTCATTTAACATTAATAATAGACCAAGTTTAGAAGATAATGATGGTAACATCTTAGACAGTTGACAGTTTGATCTAATTTATTAGCATTAGTAATAATAGGCCATTTTTGTGGCATGACTGTTTTTAATAATCGGGGGTTTACATTGTCTGTTACCATTTTCTATGATCTTATCTTATATATATAAAAGCTTAAGTATATCAAAAATAATTAACTAACTAATCACATTTTTTTTGGTTGCTTAATTATGCAGTGGCATTCCACAGGGTGGTCATAGTTCATCTCCTCCGGTTAAAATTCTGAAAGATACAGAAAGACACAAGCTTTTTCGACACGTAAAAATCTCAAATTCTAAAACCATTCTCAATATGTAATGAAATGGTCACAAGTTAAAATTCTGTTTTTGCTCCTCTGTACTTATGTTCAGGCTCGACAGTACAAACTTCAAAGTTGTAGCAGAAAATGAAGATCAGATTGAAGTCTCGTTCACCAAGACGTGGAGCGAGTCCCGTGGTGAAAAAATCGTACCTCTTAATGTTGAGAAAGAGTGCATTTTTTACGATTAACTATGGTTTTTTTAAAAATTACGTTGATAAAACAAAATTTAACTATGATTTTAAGATTTATATTCTCAGGTTTATAGTAGTTTGTGGGGTATCTGGTTTCTACTCGTATGCAATATTCGAGCACTTGGAAGGGTGGCCCGATTTGAATATCGACGAAGCAAGAATCGCCTTCAAGCTTCACCAGGACAAGTAAAGCCTCACCAGGACAAGAATTGCCTACTGAAGATTTGATTTACAGAGTTGGGGTTAGCGACTATAGTAAATTTTGGTTCTTCGCGCATGTATGGTACATATATATATGGTACATTTTTTTGGACATAATATATCCAGATTAGGAGAAAGCTGTTGTTTTGTTTTGTGTGTTTGCTTTTCTTAATTTTCCCTTTTGTTTCATATGTTTGGTTTTCTGGTTTTATGATCCATTCTTATTCTTTTCATAGTTATAGTTATTTCATAGTGTGTGATAATTATTTGATATATAAGAGTAATCGAACCTCTTGTCATCTTATGGAATCTCTTAGGCACGAGAGATTTTTCTTGGCCAAGCAACAAAATATTTAGGAATGTTCAATACCATATTTTTTTTAACTCTACATGTAAAAGGGTCTCACAAAAGATGACGTAGCGAGCGTATACTATTGGAAACAAAAGAGAGAAATCTCACGGGTCTCTATATTCTTGAGCACTCTATTCATGTCTTGATGGGCTATCCCCTAAAACAAGTCATGAAGTTTTTTAAAAAGAGGAGTTTGCACGTTTTACCACCAGTTATGATTTTTATTACACTTATATGTCCCTTATATTTTTATTTATAAAATTGCCTAGTCAAGCTAAAATATTTTCAATTTTAAGATTAACGTTATTTCCTTTTTTCTCTGTATATTAAATGCTAATCAAATCCTTAATTGAAATTAAAGATCTCCTAAACTCTCACTGTAAAAAGAACTCATGGCCCACGTCCTTTTTCTCTTCAAAACCCCATCTCCATATTTTCCTTCCTATCCGCCAAACCCTTGCCCCAAGCTAGCCCCATTCCTCGCGCCGCCGCATCCGCCTCCGTCTCTCTCAAGCACCGTCGCCTCGCGGACGAGAACGTTAGCCGATCATCTCCCGCCATTTCGTCTGTATCGCAGATCATCTCCCATCCCCCATGCTTCCTTCGGTTCTTATTCAGATCTGCGAATAATTAGATGAACTGGAGAGGTTTTTTTTCCTCCTTTTTGAAATGGGTTTGGATTGAATTTGATTTATTTTTTATTTCTTTAGGTGTGGTCGTTGGTGAGGATATTTGATCAGCCGCAGAGGTATAAGCCGCTCGTGAGTAGGTCCATAGTGCGGGGCGATTTGCAGATAGGGATTGTTCGAGAGGTGAATGTGAAACCGGGGCTTCCGGCAACGACCAACAAGGGGAGATTGGAGTTGTTGGATGATGAAGAAAAAGTGAAGACGGAAGGATTAATTATCTAATTAATTAATTAATTAATTAGGTCCTATTTGTGTTTGATTGCGTTTCACTGATTTGTTGTGGGATATGTTGTGTTTATAAACTGTATATAAATGCAATATATCCCCTTTTAATACATGTATGATTTATGATTGATTAGGTTTCAGTCTTTTTGAGAATTTTTTTATGATTTATGATTGATTAGGTTTCAGTCTTTTTGAGACAGTCTTTTTGAGAATTTTTTTCGTTTGATTTATTATGTTCTGGGATATGTTGCGTTTATATACGGTATATTTTTCAGTATATGTTCCTGAAAGCAAAATCCACAGTATACGTTGCGGGTATAGATAGTATATGTTCAGTATATGTTTTGTTGCCCATTCACCTACATAAATCAAAGTCGTATATGTTGCGGGTGTAAACAGTATATATACACTCATTCAGTACTGTAATGGAAGCAGATCATTAAAGTCGTATCCATCTGTCATTTATACACACCAACAAAAATAAAAACCAAAATAATGAAAAAACCAAAAGATATAAAATAAATATACATGAAAATAACAAGACACGATGCGAATTACAAAAGAAAAAAAAAATAGACAGTCGAAAAAAAAATATACCCGATCTGATCTTTCTATATTTTAGGCAATCTATTTTTGGGTTATATATGCANAGTTGGAAAGGATTTGATAACCTACTTAGGCATTAATTAATCCAATTAAATATGTTTGATTTAGATACATATGCAATTATTTTAGTTACTATGGTAGAGTTGTAAATATTTAGGACTCTTGTAGGAGAGATAAAAATTTTCCTTTTAAAAATATTCCTTAAAACTTTAATCTTAAATCGCCATAATTGATCCTAATATTAAGGCATGTTGATTTGTTTGAGATGATTTTTCAGGAGTGAATTTTTTAATATAAAATTTTTTATGAAAAAGATCTTATGAACTTAACATATATATTATCAAATCCCAAAATATTTTTTTTAAAAGAAAAAAAAAACTATGAACATTTTTTTCCCTTTATAAAGTACTTATCCGCACTATATTAAATAAAAGAAAAAATTTGCATCTATACCATACTTTATCTAATACTAATAGTTGCAATTCTTAAGGTAATTGATTTAGTCGAAGCAACCACTTACGAACTTGTAGGAATTAGTATCATAATTATCTAATAATATGATAAGGAATGACCTAGCTCTTTAATTATCAAAAAAATATTAAAGTGATTTTCAAATAATTTCCTAAATCAGTAAGTCAAATCATTTATTTATATAGTCAAACTTTCTATTTCAGTATTTTTTTCAACAAACTTTTTTTATATTAGTATAGATTTGCTTTTATTTTCAACAATTTACTAGTGCGTGACACGTGCGATGCACGGGAAAATAATATTATGATTGTATTATAAATAAAACATATAAATAACATTAATCATAATTTATCCATTGTTTTTAAATAAAGCCGGATTGGACACAGTCCGACCGGATGGACCGAGAACCGATTTATAACCAGTCTAGTTCGCTTAAATAAATGTTTGCTCTCGAATCCGTCAACACCATGGACTGGTAGGATCAATACGAATTTCTAAATAAATTTTGTTATATTTAAAATTATTTTAAATAAAATTACATATTTAAATAAAATGGAGATTTATAAATTATTTTTCGATTAGTTTAAACATTTGAATTTATAAATTGTTTAGATATATAAGTAACACATTTTATTTCAATTTATTACAAAAAGTACTATATATATATTAAAATGTTTATAAATTAAAATCTGAGCAAACCACAAATTATTTAATAAAATAGCTTGTTCGTCTCGATGACGATCCAGTTCTGAAAACCTTATATTTATTGTATATTAATAAATATTATAATAAAATATTATTTAATTCACATAAATTTTAATAAATTGATATATAAATTCATAAATTATTAAACATGTTGTCATAAAGTATTGTTAATGCGATTATTTGAAGTTTGGACTACATCACATTCACGTAATAACATATTTTCAATATAAAATTTATATTTAGGTTCAATAATCGATTTGATGTGGTCGAACTGATACATAACTTAGTCACCTGGGCCCAACCAAGTTGTATAAAATTTTTTTACTGTTTTAAATATCATCTAAAAGTAATTCAATCAACCTCGGCAGTACCCTAATTCAATCACCTGATTTATCTGAAGAAATTTTCTTATTTTCTTTAAATATATTTAATTTTATGAAATAAAAATATTTTATGATTCATATAATAAATGTCTACACCAAATGATAATATATTACGATTATAAATCATATATCTAAAGATGATTTAATTATTTTTACTTTATGCATATTAATAAAAAATAAACATAGTAATTTTCAAAAAATTAAGATTAATTGATTGATTATGCAATTTAAAGAATATTTTTAGCGTTCAATATTTTTTTAACGGCAAATATAAAGACCGAGATTCTAAAATTTTTTTTATATTTTGAATTGAGATTTTATAAATATAGAGACCGAGATTTTAATATTGTTCGTTGTTTTTAAGAAAAAAATAAAATAAAAACAAACACACTTAACAAATCTTAGCCGGGTTTTTTAAATAATAAAATGAACTAAAGCTCAAAATTTGAAGTAGCATTTAATGTTGTATGATTTTTAAATAAAAAATAAGAAAAGTAATAAAACTTACTATATATAGGCCGCATTAAATTTTGGTTTATTTTTTTGTTACTATTTTTGGTAAATGGTAATATATATATCTATAATAAGAATTATTATTTATCAAAAATAGTAGCAAAATAATAGGTCAGAATTTAATGCAAACTATAAATAGTAAGTTTTATTATTTTCTTATTTTTTTTCTTTAAAAATTATATAACATTAAATGCTATATTAAATTTTGGGCTTTAATTTATTTTATTATTTAAAAAATCTGGCTAAAATTTATTATGTGTGTATGTTTTTATTTTTATTTTTTTTTAGAAACAACGAATAATACTAAAATCTCGATCTCTATATTTATAAAATCTCAATTCAAAATATAACAAAAATTTTAGAATCTTGGTCTTTATATTTGTAACTTTAAAAAAATATTGATCGCAAACAATATACTTTAATTGCATAATCAATCAATTACTCTTAATTTTTTGAAAATTACTGTGTTTATTTTTTATTAATATGCATAAAGTAAAAATAATTAATTCATCTATAGATATATAATTTATAATCTTAATATACTATCATTTGGTGTAGACATTTATTATATGAATCATAAAATATTTTTATTTCATAAAATTAAATAAATAAAATAAGAAAATTTCTTCGGATCAATCGGGTGATTGAATTAGGGTACTGTCCAGGTTGATTGAATTACTTTAGGTGATATTTAAAATAGTCAAAAAATTTGACACAACTTGGTTGGTTCCAGTGGACTAAGTTATGTATCAGTTCGACAACACCAAATTGATTATTGAACCTAGATATAAATTTTATATTGAAAATATTCTATTACGTGAATGTGATGTAGTCCAAACTTCAAGTAATCGTATTAACAATACTTTTATGACAACATCTTTAATGATTTATGAATATTTATATATCATTTTATTAAATTTATGTAAATTATATAATACTTTATTATAATATTTATTAATGTATAGTAAATATAAGGTGTTCAGAACTGGACCGTCATCGAAACGATAAAGCTATTTTATTAACTCATTTGTAGTTTGTTCATATTTTAATTTATAATTATTTTAATAGATATATATATATATATATATATATATATATATATAGATATAGTACTTTTTGTAATAAATTTAAATAAAATGTGTTACTTAGATATCTAAATAATTTATAAATTCAAATGTTTAAACTAATTGATAAATAATTTATAAAGCTCTATTTTATTTAAATATGTAATTTTATTTAAAATAATTTTAATATAAAAAAATATATTTAGAAAATCGTATCGATCCTACCAGTCCAACCTACTGGTGTTGACGGATTCGAGAGCAAATATTTCATTCAAGCAAACTAGACTGATTATAAACCGATTCTCGATCCATCCAGTCGAACTGTGTCCAACTCGATTTAATTTAAAAACAATAGATAAATCATAATTAATGTTATTTATATATTTAATTTATAATACAATCGTAATATTGTTTTGCCGTGCATCGCACGGGCCACACTCTAGTTTTTATTATACATAGATAGATATTATAAAATATCATATTTCTTATAAGAATATACATGCTGTGAAATCTCATAATTTTAACTATAGTTCAGGATTTGAGCGAATTATTTGGCTTATTCCTTGTTTATTTTGCCCATTAGCACTCCATATATAACTTATCAGACTTTGGTTGAGAATTTGAAGTTAAACAAATTATTTGCCTGGTTCCTTGTTTATCATTTTGGCCATTATCATTCCAAGAATGATTATTTTATGTTTATGACAAGTGGTGTAATCTAGTATTTTTTCTCTCTCTATCACCGAAAGAAAAAATCCCCAATTAACAAAATCCTCATTCGGACGTGAACCCGCCTTCTCCAGCAGGGCCTCGCCGGGCCATCTCGACGCCGGTCATCCCCGGACTGTGCGGCCGGCTATTGAAGGCTCGTTGGACTGGAGGCTCCCTCTTCCCGGGTGAAACGATGGATTCGCCCAATATGGTTTTCGCCTCCTAATAGGTTGTCATGGAGGGAATTGGCGGGCGGTTCCCCGGCGGCGAGTTTCCGGCGAGTCTGCGATTAAGGGCTGTGGCTTCGATCGTCTCGTGTGGGGTGGTCAGGCAGAGATCGGGCCGTTCCGCTCCCCTTCTTTCTCTCGATTCCTCTGCTTTTGTGGTCTCATGGTTGCATTGACGGATCCGGGGTCGGGCCTTGTGGCCTGGGCCCGGGTAGTTGGGGCTAGAATGGTGGAGCTTGTTGTTGATCTCCGGTTGCGGGTCTCGGGTTGTCTACCTGGGCGGGGCAAGGTTTTATGTCTCGAGTCTAGTTAGGCGTTTATTCTGCAGTTTCTGACTTCGTGACATGGACTGGGTATCTGTCTGTGTGGGTGGCTGCCCGTAGGTGTCGGCGTAGTTTTTGTTCGGCTTGGTTCAACTGCTGTGGGAAGGGCTTTTTTTCTTTTATTTTGTTATTTTTGCTGTTTGGTTTTTGTTGTAGGGTGTCCTTGTTTGTTATGTCTTTTTTTGTTTTTGTTGTTGTGTTTTGGTCTCCTTTTGGGAGTGCCTTTGTCTCCCACCTGGGAGTGACTTTGTTTTTCTTTTGGAAAAGTATTGTGTGTAGTTTGTTTAGTCTAGTTTGTCTGGCTCGGGATGGATTCCCTCGTAGGAGCCTTTTTTTCCTTTGCGTTTAGTGTGTTAAATGCAAAGGGCAATCGGTTGTAA